AACCGACCGACGTAGAAAGTAAAGACGACGGTTTCACAAAAAGCCGTCGTTTTTACCCAGAAATTAACACGACCAAGTTTTCGTATAAGGCGACGTAAAATTACAAATAAATCCACGGCGGTAAAATACAAAATACCGCCGTATTAAATTAATGTACAACTACGGCAAAGGTAAATATAACGACGTCTTTCTCGTATTTCTACGACGACATCTTTCAATCTTACGAAGTTGGGGTTTTTCATATAACGACGTATTATAGAATTTAACGTCGTATTTGTCCACTTTATACGTCATAAATTATATTTAAACCGTCGTCTGAATAAGAATTTTTTTTAACAATTTATTTCTTCGATTTTGTTATCCTACGTCGGTAGATCTACCTAACGACAAGAATTGAAATAACCACGACGGTTTATATAGAAAACCGCCGACATAATCAGATTATTCTGAGATCACAAGGGTTAGAAAATCTTACAAGATGGAACTCCAGATCTGTTGCTCATTATAATCTTACCAGAAAGACAATATTTTAGAGGTTAATGATGTATGTGTATTTGTGTCTTTGAGATACACAAACGCACATACACATTAACATCCAAAAAATTGCCTCTGAAATTTGACGACGGCAGCCTCAGATTTGCAATCAGAGAGACAATTTTTTGGAAGTTGATGATATGTGTGCGTTTGTGTATCTACACAAACGCACGCACACATCAACATCCAAACAATTGCCTCCTAAAATTTCACGACGGCAGCCACAGATTTGCAATCAGAGAGACAATTTTTGGAAGTGAATGATGTGTGTGCGTTTGTGTATCTACACAAACGCACACACACATTCACATCCAAACAATTGCCTCCTAAAATTTCACGACGGCAGCCACAGATTTGCAATCAGAGAGACAATTTTTTGGAAGTGAATGATGTATGTGCGTTTGTGTATCTACACAAACGCACATACACATTCACATCCAAACAATCGCCTCCTAAAACTTCACGACGGCAGCCACAGATTTGCAATCAGAGAGACAATTTATTGAAAATTGGTGATTTGCAATCAGATTTGCAATCCCAAGAGATGAGGTGAGACAGAGAAAGCGGCAAGAAAAAGTTGAAACCCTAATCGAATACTAAAACTGAAAGAACCCGTGGAAAAAACCCTATTTATAATTAAAAAACCAAATCCACGTCGGTTATAATACACATAACGACGTTTAACAAAAACAATCCTCGTCGGTAACAAATACAGCACGTCGTTTTATTCTTACTTAAGACGACAATAAACGACGACGGTATAACAAAAACAGTCGTTGTTTTATATTTTTATTTGATTTAAATCAGTCACCTAGAAAAGAAACTTTACAAATTCTAGAACATTAATTTCCTCGGGAAAAAAAACTATATCTATAAGGCACTGTTTTTGAAAAATAAACTATAAGAAAAAGGGGAAAAAATTATATTTATAATAAAAAAAATAAAATCCACGTCGGTTATATTACACATAACGACGTTTAAAAACGAATCCACGTCGTGGAAAAATAATACGTCGTTTTAGTTTAGTGTTATCCACGTCGGTATATTACAATAAAACGACGTATATTATGAAAATAAACGTCGTAACTTTAAAACAACCGTCGTGTTAAATATTTCTACCATGACGCGAGATATTGAGTTATCGACTTTTATTTAGGAGTTTACTACGGCGGTACCTACAACACCACTGTCGTATTTATGTACCACGTCATAAGTTCAAATTAGCGTCGTAGTTTGTCTATTAATACGTCGTCTTTCTATGTAAACCGCCGTCTTATTATTATGAAACGGTTTGTATACATATACAACTTTTCGTCTACCTGACTTACACATGCACTGTTTCCAAACCCGAGAAAACATTTCAATCTCCCAGAGAAAACTTTTCGTCTTTTTTCCTTGTCAAAGCACTGTCAGAGTATCTCATCGTCTTCCTCTTGTCTTCGTCGTCGCCTCTGAACTTAAACACCAAAATCCGAGAGAAAGCTTTCATTGCACGCAAAAGGTAAGCTTTCATTTCTCACTATTTTTGTTGCTATTTTGCATGCTCATACTGTTTTTGTTTTGAAAATCTTTTTACCTTTTTTCTGGCGAAAATAACTTTTATTCTTTCCAAGTTTGATAAAATACACAGACAGAGAGGGAATGTTTCAACTTTGAACATAACTAATTCAACTAAATAAGACGACGGTAGCTTTTTATTTACGTGGTTAAATATGTAGACCACGACGGTTCATCAGTCGTCCTAGCGTCGTCTTAAAATTGATCTAAGTTGTTTTTAAAATGACGGTCAATTTTTTATTTGCTTGTTTAGATGCAGGTTCGATTTCTCTGAACCATGGTTTTCGTTTTTCCTAATTTGATAAAATACAGAGACAAAGAAAGTAGGGTTTGGTATCTTATATAGACGACGGTATCTTATTATTGACGCCGTGTGAATGTTCATACCACGACGTTATACTAAGATACCGTCGTCTATAAAAAGATGCCAAAGCTTTTTTTCTTTGTATTTTATCAAATTAGGAAAAACAAAAACCATGTTTCAGAGAAATCAAACCTGCAATCAAACATTCACAAAGAAAGAAAAATGTTTTTGGTTTCTTATAAATACGACGGTAGCTTATTATTCACGTCGTGTGAATATACATAAAACGACGTTATATTAATATTTACGTCGTGTTAATATGAATATCACGACGTCGTGTAAATATCGCCGTAATAAGTTCTTATTACGTCTTATTTAATATTTTTTCGTCGTTGTTTAAACATTTATATTGTTCTTCTTTAATCATTTGTTACGTCTGATGTTATGTTATTACGTCGTGTAAAATATTATCATACGTCGTAGTTTATAAATAACCGTCGTTTGTGTTCTAATTTTTTTCACGAAATATTTTCACTTGCAGGTTTTTTTATTCTGTAACCATGGTTTCTGAAGATCAAAGTAAGTACTCTGGCTCCAAAAAAAATGGAGGTAAGGAGCTTGGAATGGTAACTCCTCAAGACAAGCCCTTGAAGAAGATGAAGTTTGTTTCATCTGCTGAGAAAGAACCAAGCAGCACGACAACAATTTCTGAGGATTCAAAGTCAGGTCGAGGTATGAGCACAATGCCTCGTGTTGTGAAGAGAAAATTGCAGAAAATCAAGCCAGTTGTTGAGTACAATAAAAGGGGGAAAGGATGTGGCCCTGCACATACTGAGATGCAGTCCTACATTGGTGTGTTGGCACGCTCCAGAGTCCCACTTGTGGACAAGAAATGGGCTGACATCCCCAATGATATAAAGGAGCAGATTTGGGAAGCCGTTGACATGGCTTTTGTGGTAGGTCAAGGGGGCAAGACCTCGGTGTTATCTTCTGCTGCCAAGAAATGGAAGGATTTCAAGTCTACACTGACGAGGCATTATATCCTTCCATACATCAATGAGAGGGAGAAATTAAGCCAACCCCCTGAAGTATATAAATTCATAGAGAAAGCAGAATGGGATGCCTTTGTAGCTTCAAGGTTATCCAAAGACTTTGAGTCTGTGCATTCTCAACATGCACAGATTAGGGAGAAACTTGAGTACAATCATCGATTGTCTCGAAAAGGATATGCTGGTTTGGAGGATCAATTGGAGGAAACCATGCCTGGGGTAGAAATTGATCGATCTACCTTATGGAAGAAAGCTAGACAGGACAAACATGGTAACATCCCCGATCCAAAGGTGGCAGAGAAAGCAAAATTAATTGTAAGCCTACACACTCTGTTTTAAATTTTTATTAAACTGGGTAGAATTCTTATTACGTCTTATGTTATATTTTTCCGTCGTGTGAATGATTTTACTACGTCGAAATATTTTAAAAAACGTCGTGAAAGATCTAAATCTGGAATCACAACTCTGTTTTCTGTGATTATAGAATAAGACGTCGGTGGTTAATTTTTTCCGTCGTTTTAATGTTATTACTACGTCGAAATGTTTTCAAAAACGTCGTGAAAGAGCTAAATCTGGAATCACAACTCTGTTTTCTGTAATTACAGCATAAGACGTCGGTGGTTTATTTATTGCGTCGTTTTAAACAACTAACCACGTCGGTTTTAATTAACGTCGTTATAAATGTATTATAACGTCGATTTCTATATTGGTGCGTCGTGTGAAATTATATATTGCGTCGTTTGTTTTTAAATAACCGTCGTGTATTTTCTTGTTCTGACTTTTTTTTATGTCTTTGTTTTAGGATGAATTGCAAAAACAAGTGGCTGAAGGCAGTCTGAGTATAACTGGCAGTAATGATGTGTTGACCTTGGCTTTGGGTCCCGAGCATCCAGGGAGAGTAAGAGGGGTAGGTGCTGGGATTTCCCCTAGGCAATTCTTCAATTTACCTAGACCACAAAGGGTAAAGTTTGCTGATCAATTGAAGGAAAGTGTAAGAATTGTCCTTCAAGAAGAGACTAAGAAGATGGAAGCTAGAATAGAGGCTGAGAGGGAACATTTACTAAGTCAGCTTTCCCACCTCATCCCCAATTTGATCCAAGCATGCTTAAACCGAAAACTAGCCCCTGTCAAAACCAAGGTCTACAGCAAAGTCCCAGAATCCAATGTCTGATAAAGCAAGCTGTTCTGGGGCTGAAGTGAGATCCCTACATTTAGAGGATGATACTGCCAGAAATGGGGAACAGCAGGAACAAACGGTAACATATCTGAACTTTGAATTCTCTGTTTTTTTTTAAACATTAGACGTCGTTATTATTAATAAACCCGTCGTTTTAAAACCATACCACGACGATTTTATAAATAACCCGTCGTGTTTATTTAAATACCACGTCGTATTTAGTTTACTTGTTTGACACGCCATTAGACGTCGTACTTTGTGGCTTTTAGACGACGGTTTTTTTCCTTAACGACGTAATATAAAATTACCACGACGTTTATTATTTACCATCGTTTAATAATTTTAAGACGTCCATAATTCTTACATACCGTCTTATGTTATGCCTTACCACGACGTTTTGGTTTAATTTTTTTACTCTCTGTACAATCTGTCTTATATATATATTTCTTTATTATTTAAAACAGAAATCTGGGGCTTTAGATAATCAAGATGAAGAGAAGAAAGAAGAAAATAAAGATGAACAGAAGATGGGAGAAAAAAAAGATGAAGGGAAGAAGGAAGAAAAAAAGAGAAATAAAGATGAAGGCAAAGAGGAAGACACAAATGTTGAAGAGAAGAAAGAAGAAAAACAAGATGAAGAAAAGCATGACGAGGAGGTATATTCTCATAACTTTGCCTTTTAATTTGTTTTTCACATTTCAGACGTCGATATTTTTCTTTAAACCGTCGTTTGTTTTCACATTAGACGTCGGAATTTATTTTCTACGACGTAATAAATAATCTAAAACGACGGTATTTAATTACCGTCGTTTAAATTATAATCAGACGACGTTTTTTAATTTAAACCGTCGTTTTTAATGAATTACCACGTCATTTTATTTTGCTTTATTTCTTTAAACAGGGTAATGAAGTAGTTGATTATTCAAATGTGGAGGTGCCATCTTCCTTACAATCCCTTTGTGGTTATGTGGAAACTACACTAAAGCCACAGGGGAAGATCATGACCTTCAACATTGAGAAGGAGGTGTTTGGTGCAGATCGAAGTACCTTCGTCTTGCATGAAGATATTACACAGTTTGCAGGCATGGAAGAAATTGGGGCTACTGTGGTTGCAGTATATATGAGGTTTGTCCTAATCAATATCAAACATATCATAAGACGTCGGTTGTTTAATTATTGCGTCGTTTTAAACCACTAACCACGTCGTTCTTTTTTACCGTCGTGATAAATTAGTTATCACGTCTGTTTCTATTTCAGTTCGTCGTGTGAAATTGTATAATACGTCGTTTGTGTATAAATAACCGTCGTTTGTTTTATATATTTAGGTGCTTATATGATCTTTTGAGAGAAGCAAATATGTGCAGCATGGTTGGCTTTATCGACCCTGCTCAAGTTAGTGCCAACGCTGGGTCACTAACTGACAGATCACGAATTGTAGCCAGTCGACTTCAGAAAACAGATGGTGAACAGATTTTCATGATGCCTTACAATCCAGGGTTAGTCTCCTTAAAAGGATTTTGTTTGTATGATTTTCACTTATAAAACTGTTTAACTAATTCTGTGTCGTTTGAAACATCTAACCACGTCGGTTATTTATTTATTGAGTCGTTTGAAACAACTAACCACGTCGTTAGTTAATTCTCGTCGTGATAAATTTATAATGACGTCGATGATTAGTTATTACGTCGTGTGAAACTATATAATACGTCGGTTTTTATAAATAACCGTCGTTTTTTATTTATTTTTGTGCAGCCGTCATTGGGTCTTGCTGATTGTGAGGGCAAAGAGGGAAACCGTCTATTTTTCTGGATCCTCTGCCTGGAAATCGTGTGGTTGATGAGGAGGGCAAAAACATTGTGAACAGTGCTTTAAAAAATTTATAATTCCCACATAGGCAGACCAGGCCGTAAAGCACCTATTTGGAAAACTCTGCCAGGCACACCAAAGCAACCCAGCAGTGTCGAATGCGGGTATTATGTGATGCGCTTCATGAGGGACATCATCATGGATCCTTCCTTGGAGTTTGAGAAGAAGGTAAGAATAAAATTTTCAGAAACATTTTATGTGGTTTTTTGTATTATCAACGACGGTCATTTAAAATTACCGTCGTTTAATCGATAGACTACGTCGGTTATGAAAAAAAAACGTCGTCTGTAAAGCTTAATAATCTTTGTTTATGGATTGCAGTTTGCCAAGGGAAAAGATCAAGCGCCATACCCCCAAGCAGCCATTGATGAAGTCAGGAAAGAATGGGCAGAGTTTGTTTGCCTTCATATGGATTAGAGGATTTTTGGAACACTTGATAATTTTTTATGTACTAATTTTGTCTATAATATATAATGTACAAATTTTGTCTATAATATACATCCTTTTTTTCCCTGACAATTTGCTGAGGTTTTCATATTATAAAAGAAAAAACAAATTGCGTAACCGACGTGTAATAACTTTCCAACGACATAATTATGTAAAAAACCGACGTAAAATGATATTTAGACAAGATGGGACGTACATGGGACGTCGTTTTGATGAAAATTTCGCCATGGTTTCGTTTTTTTTTTTTTTTTTTTTTTTTTTTTTTTTTTTTTTTTTTTTTTTTTTTTTTTTTTTTTTTTTTTTTTTTTTTTTTTTTTTTTTTTTTTTTTTTTTTTTTTTTTTTTTTTTTTTTTTTTTTTTTTTTTTTTTTTTTTTTTTTTTTTTTTTTTTTTTTTTTTTTTTTTTTTTTTTTTTTTTTTTTTTTTTTTTTTTTTTTTTTTTTTTTTTTTTTTTTTTTTTTTTTTTTTTTTTTTTTTTTTTTTTTTTTTTTTTTTTTTTTTTTTTTTTTTTTTTTTTTTTTTTTTTTTTTTTTTTTTTTTTTTTTTTTTTTTTTTTTTTTTTTTTTTTTTTTTTTTTTTTTTTTTTTTTTTTTTTTTTTTTTTTTTTTTTTTTTTTTTTTTTTTTTTTTGTTACATAATGTAAAAGGACCCCCCAAAATAAATGGTTTGATGAGTCACTAACATCACATGTAGTGTGAGGTGAGTCGTTAGAGGTTTAGGGTGTTATATTAGGGTTTATGGATTAAGGATATTACTGTGGGGTTTACTGTGGTTTAGTTTTTATATATTAGGGATGTAAAAACCTAAACCCTTGATAAATTATATTTAAAAAATATATAATTTCGGGTTTCGGGTTTAGGGTTTAGAGTAATTTGACAACGGTGATTGAGTCGGGGAATATTGAGTTTGCGTCGGAGGGTGAAACATCCGCCATGGTGTCTCTTTTAAACGACGTCCTTTTTACAAGTGATCGTTTATTTATGATTTCCACGTCCTTTATTTTTAACCCGACGTGGTTTTGTGTTGATATTTAGAACTATTTAATAATTTTTTATTTTTTTCCATAAAACCAAACAAAATGAAAATGCAACTTCCGATGAAGTCCATGATATATTTGTCTTCCCCCCAAACCCCTAAAAAAATCAGTTGGAGTAATACAAATTTAAAATGACCCAAAAAGTAAATTGTTTTGATGAGGCATGACACAACTGTAGTTGAGGTTTAGGGTTGTATTATTGGCGTTTTGATTACAGGATAATTTTTGGGGTTTCGAGGTAAAAGACGTTATCTCTTCTATGGTAAAACCATTAAAACCTTTTTAAACTATATTTAGTATATATAGTTGGTTTAGGGTTTTAGGATTTTTTTTACCCGATGGTATTGATAGTTGTCCGTCGTGTTTACTTTTTTGACGACGGTTGTGTTATGTTCCTTTAAAAGGACGTTGTACATGATAACAACGTCATGTCGATTAAAAAAAAAAAAAAAAAACATTATTCAAACGACGCTATTGGTTCAACAGTGCCGACGTGGTTTCTTTAAAATAAACGGCGTTGAGTTCAGTGTTTGAGTCGTGAAATAATGATATTTACGTCGGTTTTGGTAAACTTTCGCCAGGTTTCTCTTAGTTTGACGACTTCGATGGTTTTTTTCGTCGATGTTTAAAGAGCGCGCTTTCCAAAAAAATCGCTCAACCTAAATTTTCAGATTTCGCTCTAAGTCTTATACTGTAACCCTGTTAATATAAAATCACGATCATAAACTGACTGAAGGGACTCCTCTCGGCCTAGCACCTACCGTTTCGTTAGGCATTTCGCCTTCCTGAAAACAAAAGAAAAGCTGCAAAGGCAGAAATCCTCTCGGCCTCGCGACCGCAGTATTTGAAGGCCGAAGCCGAAGGCCGTAAAAGACACGGCCGAAGAACTGTGGTTAAATCGCCACGTGGCCTCAGGGTCCCACGCCCCATTTAATGAAGTAATGCCTTTGACTTCGCAGCAAACCCACTAGTCGCAAGAAGCATTTAATGCACGAGGGAAGAGGGAAGTGACTGAAGTCAGGATTTGGTGATGGAAATCAGAGTGGTTAGGCGCAACATTCTCACAAGTAATCTTACAACTTGAGGTCAGATCACCAACCACCAGACCAGGGCATTAAATGCGTTCCCACGGCCAAGGGGGCAGAACCCACGATCAGGGCGGTGGCCGAGATTTACCGAGATTTATGGGGGTCACACCACCATGCTTCACGATCCCAAATGCCGATTTGACTACCCACTTGCCCCGATCAGGCTCCACCACGCAGATCTTTTCAGCCTCGATTGTCCCTCCAGGACTCCCCCTATAAATACTAAGCTCAAGACTACATTCAAAGGGTTCAAACACCAAACCAAAAGCCTCCCACGGAGCAAATTATATTTTCCTGTAATGCACTTTCAATACCTTTATTTGCTTTCCTAGGAGTAGTGGTAGATTGTAAGGAAAATCCATTCATCAATATATCATACGACCCTTGATTTTCAAGGCGCCGGAGCACCATCTCTGTTATCATCTCATTCACCCCATATATCATACGACCGTCGCTCTCTGAGCAACGCGCCGGAGCACCGCCTAAAACCCGCCACCAACACCACCACTAAACGGCCTTGTAGCTCAGGCCGTGAACCTGACGGCCGAGATCAGTTCCTCTCTCGGCCACAATCGTTTGATTAGGAGTCGAACTCAAAACAGGCGCATCATTTAACCATCTTCTACCCAAACCCTCATCACCATCTCGACGCACGGTAGACCGTGCTGGCACGCCCGCGCACAACCGCACCGCATCCAAAAGAAGGACGTCACGTGTTAACGCACATCCCCTCGGCCCGGAGCACCAGGCCGTGAGATTTGCGCAGCCACAACCCTGAACCCTAAAATTTTTCAGATTTCGGGCACATAACATTTCGCTCTCTCACTTCATCTCTAATTCAAAGTTGGGCCAGGCTGTGTCAAATCCAATTTGGTCATAATCTGTGAGCTCTGCCAACCTGTAAGTACAAACCCTCTCTTCCCCTTGTAAATTCATTGAATGATATATTACGTTGTTTTGTTAAAGGGTTTTAGGTATATGTTTTGCGATCTGTTAATAATGTTGTTGGAGGTATGGGTTCATGGATTTTCTGTTTAATGTTTTCTTGATCACTCTCTGTTATGTTGAATATGGAATGGATTTCATTTTGTCGGATCTTTTAATCACTCTCTGTTATGTTGAATTGGGAATGGATTTATTGTTTTCATGCTTAGTATATGTTGGTTTCATGTATATGTTGGTTTCTTGCTTGGTTTCATGTCTATGTTGTGTTCTTAATAGGGTTTTGGGATCTTGAAAATAAACTGGATATCGACGCGTTTTCAGGCATACGACGACGGTTTTTACTTTAAACCGTCGTTTTTATTACTTATACACGACGGTGTTATTTAACTACCGTCGTGGTTACAATTAGACGACGTAAAATCCGTCGTCTATATATGTCAAATACGTCTGTTTTTGTTTAAAAACCGTCGTCTCTGTTGTATATTACTTGCTATTAGACTTTATGTAATCTGCTATAGTGATGGTCATTGCTTGTCTTTTCACTTTATTATATATAATAGGGTATAGTGTCGGAGATGGATAAGTCATGGATGCACTCGGATAGAAGATCGAAGGCATATGAGTTAGGGGTGGAAGCATTTTTGAACTTTTCTGTAGAAAATCTTCTAACTACCACACATATCCGTTGTCCATGTGTTAAATGTGTTAATTTGAAATTGTTTGGGGTTGGAATTATAAGGGATCACTTATACTTTAATGGAGTTGACCAAAGCTATAAGAATTGGACATTTCACGGAGAACCTTGGGAAGCAGCTACTAATGCTAGTAGAAATGTTGAAGAAGATGATGACCATAGTAGGTACAGTTTTGTGTCTGAAGAAATAGAGATGGATGATAATGATTTTGGTGATTTTGGATCTGATCCTTATGAGTTTGCCAATGTGATTGGGGATGGAGATCAACCATTGTACCCTGGTTGTAGAAAGTACACGAAGTTATCGGCATTAGTGAAGTTGTATAATTTGAAGGCAAAATATGGGATGAGTGATGTCTGTTTTACAGAATTATTGATACTTCAAGGCGATTTGCTTCCAGAAGGAAATACAATACCGGCCTCTATGTATGAGGCAAAAAAGACTTTGTGTGCATTGGGGCTGAGTTATGAGAAAATGCACGCATGCCCCAATGATTGCATCTTGTATAGGAAGGAGTATGAGGATTTAACTCATTGTCCTAATTGTGGTATCTCAAGGTGGAAGGAAGGCAAAGATTCAATCTTGAAAGAGGGTGTGCCAGCGAAGGTGGTGTGGTATTTTCCTCCAATTCCAAGGTTTAAAAGGATGTTTCGATCACATGAGACCGCTAAGAGTTTGACTTGGCATGCTGCTAGAAAATCAATTGACGGTTATATGTCTCATCCAGCGGATTCCCCGTCTTGGAAACTTCTTGATGATAAATGGCCCGAGTTTGGTAATGAGCCGAGAAACTTGAGATTGGCTCTTTCATCTGATGGATTCAATCCCCACAGTTCTCTAAGTAGCAGATATAGTTGCTGGCCAGTTATCTTAGTTACATATAATCTCCCTCCATGGCTGTGCATGAAACGAAAGTTCATGATGTTGACCTTATTGATTTCCGGTCCTAAACAGCCCGGAAATGATATAGACGTCTACTTGGAGCCTTTGATTGATGATTTAAAATCTTTGTGGGATGGGATTGGAGGAGTGTATGATGCACATAATGGAGAATACTTTACACTCAGAGCTGCATTAATGTGGACAATTAATGATTTCCCCGCCTATGGAAACTTATCTGGTTGTGTTGTTAAAGGATATAAAGCTTGTCCAATATGCGGCGATGATACACCTAGTCACAGGTTGAAAAATGGCCACAAAATTTGTTACATTGGGCATAGAAAATGGTTACCGATCAATCATCCATATAGGAGGCAACGTGCAGCTTTTAATGGGAAACCTGAATATGGCACGCCTCCTGAGCCATTAACCGGAGAAGAAGTGCTGCATATGGTTGAAGATGGTGACAGAGTTTGTTGGAAGAAGAAATCAATATTCTTTGATCTCGAGTATTGGAAATACCTTCCTGTGAGGCATGTCCTAGATGTTATGCACATTGAGAAGAATGTTTGCGATAGTATCATTGGTACATTGCTGGAGATCCCTGGAAAAAATAAAGATGGGATTGCTGCTCGATTAGATTTATTGAACATGGGGGTCAAAACTGATTTGCAACCCGAGTATGGAGAAAGACGTACTCGTTTGCCTCCCGGGCCTTGGAATTTGTCAAGAGCAGAGAAGAGAGAGGTTTGCAATTCTTTCTATGGTATGAAGGTCCCTGAAGGTTATTCTTCAAATATAAAAAATCTTGTATCTTTACAAGATTCAAGACTTCTTGGCCTTAAATCACATGATTGTCATACCTTAATGCAACATTGCTCCCTGTGGCAATTCGTTCTGTTTTGGAGAAGCCTGCAAGGTATGCAATAATCGTTTGTGCTTCTTCTTTTCATGCTATATGTGCAAAGACTGTGATGCAAGCTGATTAAGTTGGAAGAAGATGTAGTAGTTACTGTGTTTGTTGAGAAGTACTTTCCCCCTTCATTCTTTGATATCTGGTTCATCCTAGTAGTACATCTTGTCAGAGAAGTTCGTCTGTGTGGGCCAGTATATTTTAGATGGATGTATCCGTTTGAAAGATATATGAAAGTGCTAAAGGGGTATGTTCAGAATCGTACTCGTCCCGAAGGTTGCATTGCTGAGCGGTATATAGCTGAAGAAGCTGTAGAGTTTTGTACCGAGCATTTATCTGATGTTAGTACAGTTGGAGTGCCTTCAAGCCAAAAGATGGGAGTTTCAAAGCCATTATCAGGTTGCACAGTGAGCGTAGTTGATCGGGACCTGTTGAACCAAGCACATCTATATGTCTTGGAGAATACGGAGGAAGTCCTACCTTATATCGAGTACGTATGAGTTTTATTCTTTAAGTTTCCATTTTAAATTATTTCTTATGTTTATCTTATATGTTTGGGACCGTAATACTTGAATTTTGTGTGTCATGTAGGCAACATATGATCCACATCCAGACCGCTTATCCAAAATTTAGAAAGAGAACAAAGTGGCTGCAGGATAAGCACAATAGCACTTTCATTCAATGGCTACGCTTCAAGGTATATGTTATTGAATAACATATTGGACTTTTAATTTTCTTCTTCTGTGTTAGATTGAATTAAGTTATGATTAATTTGCAGGTTCAAAGTGAACTTAATGAGGAAGACAATCATGGCGTATCAGAAAATTTAAGGTGGCTAGCAGCTGGTCCAAACATGGCAGTGCCATTATATAGGAGCTATCTCATTAAAGGTATTAAATTCAACATCAAGGCACAAGATGATGTGCGGACAACTCAAAATAGTGGAGTTTATTTACTTGCACATACTATGCAAGTTGCTAGTGCCAAGGATAAAAACCCAATTCTCTCAAATATGGGTTTCTATGGTGTCATTCAAGAAATTTGGGACCTTGACTACCAAAAGTTTACAATCCCAGTCTTTAGGTGTGATTGGATTGATAATACTTCTGGTCTTGTAGTGGACGAACTTGGATTTACCCTTGTAGATTTGAGTAAAATTGGACATAGGAATGACCAATTTGTTTTGGCTTCTCAAGTCAAACAAGTATTTTTTGTTGACGACCCGATGCATCGTGGTTGGTCGGTAGTGTTATCAATGCCTAATAGAGAATATAATGATGTTATTGGTGATGATGTCTTAGGTGATGTGAGAATTGAGTGTGAGCCATTTACTAGGGGGATGCCAAATGTTGACACATTTGATGAAGTGGTGGTTGAGTTAGGGAGTCAAAATATTCGAGATGGGTGTGAAGATATATGGGTTGAATGATGCTTTATGTAATTGGCAGTGTATGACATTAATTTTGTAATATATTGTAATGTGATTTCTTCACTTTCATTATACAGGTTTTGGCCACAAAACAATCAGTACAAAAATTACTGGTTCCAGATTACAAACACGACGGTTTTGATAAAAATGTGAAAAACAAACGTCTGTTCTAATAAATAACGACGTTTTGGAGCATTCAACGACCGCAATATATTTACCGACGTCTTAAAGCAAAGTAACAATGAAGAACCACGACGCTATTGTGAAACAGTTATCCAGGATAACACGTCGGACAAGCATAAAGAACCGCCATGTAATTCAAAATAACACGACTCCAATCCCATAACACCGACGTCTAAAAGACGAGAACTTTAACCTGAACGTTACAAAAGACGACGTCGTCATGAATTTACCACGTCGCATGTTCTTTCATAAACGAAGTGGAAAAGGATGAATTCACGACGGTATTTTAATCCATTAGTAAATTTGTTGACGTTAAGATATATTTGGACGTCGTTCCTTTACAAAAACAACGTTATATGAATGTATCCACGTCTCTTTTCTTATGATAATGTCGATAAAATTTCTTTACACGGCTAATATCAGATTAACAACGCCGTCTAATAGGAATTAGACAACGGTAATTTTTTTAATGATGACGTATATATTATGAAACACGACTGTCTTTTGAATGATAACGACGTTGTATATTGACGACAACGTCGTCTTTATAAATTAATATGTCGTAAGTAATGACCCCAACATATTTTCCACGTCGTTTATTTTAAGATCGTGTCGTTAAAACTATTTTACACGGCGGTGAACTGAGAAACCTTGCCGTGTCAGATCCATTAGACGACGATTATATTTTAAGAGATGACGTATAAATTCTGTAATACAGCTCTCAATTATTTGGAAAAGACGTTGTTTGTTAGTACAACGTTGTCAGTTTAAATATATGCATCGTAAGTAATGACCCAAACATCTATTTCCACGTCATCATTAATAGAAAAATCGAAGTGGAAAATTCATTTCACGACGGTTGTTGAAAAGATACTGCCGTAGTAGGAGTCAATAACGTCATCGATTATGTATTTAAAGACGTCATATTTTATTGGTCGTGAAAGGTATATTGAGAGCCATATGTATGTATATCTTGCAGCCATGTTCTGTTAATATATGTCATATGTTTCCTTTTTAACGACGTTTTTTGTTAGAATTGGTCGTCTATTCTCATCCTCGACTATTTTTTATCTCTTTTCCATTACAAAGACGTCGGTTATTATTTGTTAATGACGTTGTTTGTTTTAACAACGACGGTGATTTAGCGTCGTGGTTTGACACCCAAATAGATGTCGGTCGATTCCACGACGGTTTGAAAACCGAATACACGACGGTGAATTCCCGTCATCTTTATCCTTTTTTGTAGTAGTGAAGAAAAGAGATCATGTTGCTATGGATCAAGAATTGAACATTTTGGATAGAAAATTTTGTAAACCAATTGAACCTTAAACCCTTAAGAGCATCTACAATCATGCTCTCTATTTTTCAGTTAAAATATAGCTAACAACACATAAAAGCTATTTTAGGAGCTCTCTATATAAAATTTGAACTACAATCATACTCCATAGTTTAGGGAGTCATAAATACTATAATTATTTTTTGATTCAATATAATTGGTCCATCTCTATTAAAAAAATAATATAAATATAGTTAGTATTAATTAAAAGTTTAAAATATGCATAAAACAAAGCATCATTAAATTATAGGGAGTCACTAGAAGTCCTTTATCTCTCCTCAGATTTAGGAGCTCCTAGAGATTTCCCTATTTTAAGAGGTGGATAGAGAGCATGGTTGGAGTTGTAGTTTTCCAATTCCTCCCTAAAATTTGTCTAAGGATGTAGTTTAGGGAGCCCATTGTGAATGCTCTAAGAGTGTTCATGTTTTGGTCATTTTAATTTCCTTTTTTTTTTTGGTAAAATATCACAAGGTGTCCCCACATCCAAAGGGTTGGATTAAGCCCCACTCGGGGTTCGGCTTGTCCCTAGCCACAAAGTGCTCCCTACTGAATTCGAACCCCCGCCATTGAAACACCAATTAGTTCTTCAGCTGAAGATGACAGTTTGCCAACCGCATCACTCCTTGTGGTTGCCATTTTAATTTCCTTTGGTACATTGAACAAATTGGAAGTCTTGAATGGTGCCAATCAACACTTTTTGTTGGTCTTACTGGACTTCAAAACTCTGCAGTATTTTATGCTCTAAGCAGTCTAAGAAATACACCTACCAGACATATATACAATCCCATCGAAATCGGAATTGTGAGGCAGTGGCACTATAGGGTTTAAACTATTTAAGATGCTACGTGAGTCGACCTTTGTTCACCTTTAACTTAGATCATCCAACCAACATGTAAATAAGATAGCTTTAATACAAATTTATAAATAAACCCAATCCTAGACATGAATTTATAAAAAAAAACCCAACACTATTTAAAACATAGAAACACACCCAAAATCAACCCAAAAATCAACAATTGTATATTTTTTGGTGTGTTTATTATCAATGGGTTTTGAGTGTGTTTAATAAATGGGTTTTGGGTGTGTTTATAAAGTGTTTTTCATGTTGGGCTTTTTTATAATTTCAGCCCCTATTTTGGGTGTATTAGTGAAACTCCCTAATTTTAATCTAAGTGTACAGAGCTTAAGGTACAGTTGCTAGGCAGGACTTTTGAGAAACTGTATGTCTTCTGTTAACACCGACATTAATGTTATCTGCTAAATTATACTTCTGGGCTTTGTGATATTGGGCTTGACGAAGAGTAAAAGGTATGTGGGGTGCATAAATTGAAATCTTTATAATTTGATAACCAAAAGCAAGACGCGTTTTAAAACTTTCATTGACTGGCACTTTTACAGAAAAGGCTTACACTGAAGTATTAAACGAAAAAAAAGAAGAAATATTGTCAATATATTGGTGTTTACTCCCAAGTGTTATTGTGGGCTTCGACACTCAGTCATGTGATCCAAGACAAATGGGGCCCAAACTGAGCTTCAATGATCTCGGAGTATGGTTATAAGCATGCCACTATTGGTATCTGGTGTCTTAAGAAATCTTAACTTCTAATGAATCTATTATACTCGTAATGAGGAACTTGCTTGAATTAGTTCTTTTATATGCCTTGATTGATAAGGACTTCAATATTGCACTTGTGCAATTCGAAAACTAAACAAATAGACTAGTACAAGAGCGATCGGATTGAAATTGTAATTGATACTACTAATGAAACTATGTCCGAATGGACATTACGAAAATCTTATATTGATTAGCTGTTAGAAAGTAGCTACGCATCAATCTTTGATGAAATTAAGCATAGAAAATATAACTTCAGAATGATGAAAAGTTAGTGAAAAATCTAGCAGCTTGAGCGAGGTTTAGTCAAGTTTTGGACGTAATTTATGTGGAGCACTCGAAACCTACGGGATTTGGAGACCCCTTTTATGATTTAGCCCTATACCTACGTGGCCACTATTGACTTCTTTGATGGTTGAAAATGGTTTGCCCCTAAGTGAATAAGTTTAAATTTTGTTTTATTAAAGGTCAATGAGTAAGCCCCAGTATGCATGATTAATGTGATTTACATTTACGTTTTTGCCCCGCTATATAAACCCCCACCCCCACCGTCACCCATTGCTGCCACCGTTCCCGCCACCCACTGATGACACTTAACCACTCATGCTATGCCTTACTTTGTACTTATGCTTAGTTTTTCTAGTCTTTATATTACAGAAATGATCATTTTCTATTATCAAATTAAGAACTCTTATGATTTAACCTTTCTTCTGTGCCGGTTCACGGAAACAATTGGCCGTAGGTGAGTATATATGATAAATAGAAAATACCAGAAGTTTCGATCTTTGTTTTCTTTCACAAATCACTGAAATGCATATAACTTGAACAATTTTTCCATTTATAGGCATTGCGGTTGCTGTTCCGTCGATCATCATAATCATTTTTTTTAGCATATGCATAACAAGTAAGGAAAAGAATATTGGCCTTCTTCAAGAAAGATAAAAGGGATGATGAGTTTGAATTTGATGTTGAGGCACTTATTAGGAACTATGGATCGTTTACTCCAAAGAGGTATAGTTATGCAAATGTCAAGAAAATGACAAACTCGTTCAAAGATAAAATAGGTAAAGGTGGATATGGAACCATACGTGTACAAAGGCAGGCTACCTGATGGCCTTCTCGTGGCGGTAAAAGTCCTAAGCAAGTCGAAGGGTAACGGGGAAGAATTTATTAATGAAGTTGCTAGCATTGGTAGAACTTCCCAAGTCAACATAGTCACTCTTTTTGGATTCTGTTATGAGAGGGACAAAAGGGCTTTGATTTATGAGTTCATGCCTAATGGATCTCTGGATAATTTCATACATAAACACGGTTCTGAAATGGCAAAATGTCGCTTAGAATGGAAAACACTATCTGAAATTGCAGTTTGCATTGCACGAGGACTAGAATACTTACACCGTGGATGTATCACGAGAATTCTGCATTTTGACATAAAGCCACAGAACATTCTTTTGGATAAAGATTTTTGTCCAAAAATCTCTGATTTTGGCCTTGCCAAATTATGCAAAACGGAGTAGAGTATTGTGTTGATGTTAGGCACAAGAGGAACTGCAGGATACATAGCACCAGAAGTGTTTAGTCGGAACTTTGGAGGCGTCTCTAACAAATCTGATGTTTACAGCTACGGGATGTTGGTTCTTGAAATGGTTGGAGCAAGAAAGAACTTGGATTCAGGAGTGTCTGATACGAGTGAAATGTTTCCACATTGTGTTTATAAAGATCTAGAGCTAGACAAGGATGATATTGTTTTTGGCGCTATATCTGAGGAGGAAAAAGTAGTAGCAAGAAAGATGGTATTAATAAGCCTGTGGTGCATTCAGACCATTCCTTCTGATCGGCCATCAATGACCGAAGTTGTGGAGATGTTGGAAGGACCCCTTAATTCCTTGCAAATCGCACCGAAGCCTTTCTTGTTTTCTCTGTGACCACATCCCAACCATCTGAAACAGAATTAGCTTCGTCAGCAGATCTTTATTAATTAGGAAATTCCAGCTGATTTGTAAGAAATTTGGCTTGGGAAAATGAAACAGCTTTCATTACTCGAAAGGAGAATGTAAACTTTTTTTTATTGATTAATTCAAATTTTTTTGTTTTTTCAATTGTTAAATATTTCGGAAAGCATATTTGTTCTGCAAAACAGAAGATAGCTTTCAGATATGAAGACAGATTTGGTAATTGTTTTTTTCTTTTTCAATGAAAAGTAAATTGTGAAAGATCAGAAACTTTGGTTCCATGCTTCATTTGGTTGAATTTTTTGTTAATACCAAACAATGGCGGTCCTACATTTTGGAGGTCCTAGGCGAACATCCTAAATGGGGCCTTCTACTCTATATGTATATTGATGTGATTTTGTTTTTGGTAACTTAAAAAAAATACTATACATATGAACTAAAATTTGGTTGCGGTTGCTTCTAGTGGGATGCTAAACTGCCTATGTACCCTTAATGGGATCAAACCAACGTAATTCCAAAATTTGAAAATTAATGGGTAGGGGTGGCCCACTAATTGAGAACTTGTATCTTTGGGACAATTTGGAGATTTTCATAAGTAGATGACCTATAAGAAAAATTGGAAATTAATGGGTAAGTGTGGCCCAATAATTTAGAATTTGTGTTTGAGAGATTTGATTTTAATCTCATTGGAATTTTCATGGGTAGATGACCCATGAGAAAAATTGGAAATTAATGGGTAAGTGTGGCCAAATAATTTGGAATTTGTGTCCTTGAGACAATTTGAAGATTCTCATAGGTAGATGATCCATGGGAAAAATTAGAAATTAATGAATAAGTGTAGCCTACCAATTGAGAATTTGTGTTTTGAGATTTAAATTTAATCTCATTCGAATTTTCATGGATAGATGACCCATGAGAAAATTTGGAAATTAATGGTTGAGTGTGGCCCATTAATTGAGAATTTCTGTTTGAGAGATTTGAATTTAATCTCATTGGAATTTTCATGGGTAGATGACTCATAAGAAAATTGGAAATTAATGGGTGAGTGTAGCCCACTAATTGCGAGTTTGTTTGAGAGATTTGAATTTAATCTCATTGGAATTTTCATGGATAGATGACCCATGAGAAAAATTGGAAATTAATGGGTGAGTGTAGCCCACTAATTGCGAGTTTGTTTGAGAGATTTGAATTTAATCTCATTGGAATTTTCATGGATAGATGACCCATGAGAAAAATTGGAAATTAATGGGTGAGTGTGGCCTATTAATTGAGAATTTCTATTAGAGAGATTTGAATTTAATCTCAATGAAATTTGTATGGGTAGATGACCCATGCGGAAAATTTGATGGTTTTGTACCATTTTTCTTTTGTCAATGTTCAAGAAAAATAATGAGCAATTTTGATTAACCCACTAATTTTCTAAAATTGATATTTGCACTTTGACCCAAATATGGCCATGAGGATTTTTAAAATTAATTCATGAACTATATAATAGGCAATTTGGGCCTCTATAAATTTAATGGGTAATTATTTGGATTACCCATTAATTACTATTGGCTTTTGAGCATTAATGGACAATTATTTTTTATAGTCCATTATTCTATTTTGGGCCTTTGATAATTTGACTGACCCATGAACAGAAATTGGTTCACAACTGTGGTCCTTGTGACAAAAGAGACCAGCGTGCAGCTCATCCTTTAAGTGGATCAGTCATACTTCAATTGGGACTTTGGGAATTGAAGACTCAAAGGAATTGGACATGTGAAGGAAGTGTACCCTTATGAAATTGGAGATCAGTTGCACCAGACTCTCTCCCATACTTAAAGCAGACCCATCTTCTGTTTTGTCTGTTTACAAACACCGAAACCCAGTGTATGCAATGTCGGCAACCCCCCATCAGACTTCCCTTTTTTCTTTTAGTTGAGCCCCCTATTTTCCTTTGTCTTTCAGTGCTTTGTTTGTATGCGAACCAACACAAAATAAATTCCAAAGGTGCTGTGCGATCTGCTAGACAGAGAAGAAGAGAGAGAGTTAAATGAAGATGCCATTTTTTACTTTTCTCCATGTTGGTCTACAACCCATCCGCCAACAACACCAAGCTGCCAATCCCTTCTTCTTTTTTTTTTTTTGGTAATAAAGAGGGCTAAGCCCAGACAACAACTAAACATAAATCAATCTAGACCTTAAAAGGTCATCCCTGTCTTCTTGGAGAACACCGGTAATACCACCAGGAGGCAAAACAAAGCAGTGAATACCCATTTCCATCTCATGCCTCATCTTGACCAAAGAGTCAGTAGCAAAGTTAACCTCCCTGAAAACATGAAAGACCAATCCCTTCTTTTTCAAATCTCAACCAAAGTGGCTGACGCCACTTTCTTCTTTTTTTTTGTCTTTTCTTTTTGTTGTTTTACTTTTCTTTCTTTGTTTTTCTTTTTTGGTTTGTTGCTGCCTTTTTGTTTTTTTTTCTGTTTTGGTGGCATACAGACGAAAGTCTCCCTGCAACATGACTTTTCTTATTTTGAAAGACCTCCATCCTTCCTTCTTCCTTCCTTTGTTTTGATTGTTTGCAAACAATCCCCAGATGAGGAATTCAAAGAATGGGCTGCACAACGTGGCCTCCGTTTTCAAGCTTTGTTTCTCTCCTTCATGTGCACACAGCTGATTTTTTTATTTGCTGTGAGATTCTGTAAAACCCCATATTTTTAAATAGGTATATTAATATTTCATAAAATTAATTATTTATAATTATTAGTTTTCAAAACTATATATATATTAGTTAGTTATATGGTAAGCTACGTGAATCTTGTTATAGCCTATCAAACCTTATTGTATGACTTTAACTATAGCAATTCATTTAATACTTATGCTATACACACAAAAGCTTTAAAAAGGTATTGATGCTTACTAAGCTTTTCTCTTAAGTGACGTGTTGCATTAGGGAGCCTTCAAAAACCAATTGAAGCATGAGGTGGTATGTTTTGAGATGAGGTGTAAGAATAATAGATGTTCTTATATATATAAATGTATTTGGCAAGTGCTCACTAAGCACTCTCTGGAAGCCAACACCTAAGACTAAATGGAGTGGCAGTTTTATCTTCAAGCCACCAATTTAGTCTATAAATCATAGGTTGTAGTCTAGAGATCCCTAGGTTAGTTAGGTGGCATAATGTTAAAGCTTCATCTATTAATGTTTTGCCGACTCTAACCTACTATATATATAGTTCTAACTAATAGTTATTGAATCATAGGTTCTTCAAAGTTGTGTGAGTTTCTTAAAAATTAGAGAGTGAAAACTAAGTGTGATAAGATTTTGGAAAAGCTCAACTGGGAAGTGTACAATAGCTTTGGATTTGAGGTAGGGGTTTTTCATGGGGAAGTTTTGCATACATTGATTTGATTAAATATTGTAAATACTATATTATGCTTGGTAATATTATTTTGATTGTTATTGTAAATCCTATATTAAGCTTGGTTATATTGTTTGATTGTTATCCTTGATATTGGATATATACGTGTTGTCAATTATCATTATAATTTGATTAATTTTGACATATTCATATGTTGTCGGTGGTGGTTGTAATTTTTGGGTTGATAAAGAAATTATGGAAAAGAGGATAATGAGAAGTATCTTTTGTGTAGTTGAGTCTAATCATTGTAGGGACCAAGTTCAGGCGAGCCCATGTGCACAGTAGATTAGGAAATCGGCGATATAATTGTCGATTGGGTGATTTGGGCTTGGAGATCAATGGTGTAGACAAGATGGATAGCAAAAGGGGAATTATGGGATGATTGAAATGGGTGTTAGTTTTTATAATGGGGCATTCGGAATCATAGTGGTAAAATGCATGGTATGGGACATGCAGATTTGCTTGCCCTATTATATAGATTGACGGGTTGGGTAGAAATGAAATTCATTCGTGCATTGCATAAATTGTACATTATAAATCTCATTAATCACATAAAACATAGGACCCCTACTGAGCATGTAATTCTCAACCCTTATTAATCTATTGCATGCTTTGAATCTGAAGTTTAGTTTTTGCTGAGAAAACAAGAAGAACGGATTATGGATAGTTTTGAGTGTTTTGTTGAAAGTTTATTACTTTCTTGTTATTTGCTTGTAATAATACTATGTAAATTACTTTGACCTAGATGGAAGTTTAGGTTCAATCTTTATGTTTCTTGATATTTAAATTTTATTTTTAGTTTTTCTTTTACATCACATTCCCAAATAAATTAATTAATTAATTGGGGTGTGTCAGATTCAACCCCCAGTGATTTTGTTTGTGGGTTTTGTACCCAAATTTATGCCCAAAACGGATATACCATTCAGTATTTGATTGAGGGTTACACACACATGATGGATTTTGTATCCAAGATTTTTTTGGGGTGTAAAACCCAAAGCCTTGATTGAGGGTGAAACACCCAGACTTTATTTCTAGGGTGCAATACCCAAACTTGTTTTCAGGGTGCAAACCCATATTTGTTTTCAGGGTGAAATACCCAAGCTTTGTTTCCGGGGTGCAAAACCAATGCTTTGATTTCAGTGTTTATTACCCAAAGATGGATTGAACATCCAAGAAATTTTGATCCAAGGGTTGCCACCCTACATGGATTGCCATCCATCTGACCGATTAAAGGGTTGCCACCCAACATGGAGGACCTCAAGAGAGGAGCTGTGTTGCAGATGCATGTTTGATTGCTTCTGTCTTTTTTTTTTTCTCTCCAGCCTTTCGGCTCTCCTCCCCTGTATTTGTGGCCTTGCAGGCTCTTTATTTCTCTTTGAAGCCTCCTCTTTTATTTTTGTATCTGCAACCTCACAGCTGCCTTCCCTTTTTCTCTGCAACCCTCCTTGCTTTCATAAAGTGATTGCCAGAAAGAGTTTTGAGATGGAACAATCCTTGTTCAAATTGGACTCCTCCTCCCACTTGATCAAATTATCCTTTCTTTTATTTATCCCTTCCTTTTCTCTAGGGATAAGATCAAGGACCATTTGATATTCATGTTATTTCAAAGTTGTTTTAAAAACAGGCATGGAGTGAGGACCAGACCCACGCAACATTGTGGGGCTTATTCAAACCCATGTTTGATTTTATTTTATTTTATTTTGTGAATTTTTTTGGTTCGACAATGTCTTTATCACTTTAATCTATTTTATCGCCTTTACATTTATGTCATTTTGTTTCTTGCTTTTACATTCATTGCACTTATCACCAAAATTCTAAAAATAGTCGTACAAAGCTCAATCATCCTTGACTCCGAGGAAGTGAAAGAACCTAGGCTAAGATGAGGTTCCTTGTATGGCCGAACACACTCGCACAGTCTTTCCATCAAAGCCACTGGTGGCATGCCTACGCATCTCAAGACAAGAAGGACCAAAACATCCTTCCTTTGGCTTACTTAGCCAAAAAGAGGGAAACACGTAGACTTCAATTTATGTCCTCTATTGGAATTCGTCTCCCTTAATCCTGATTTGAAACCAAATTAAATCAAAGATTCAAAGTTACCCATACAGAAATTCAGAAAATTGCAAGAGGAGAGGTGCAAATTCTATGCCACCTTAGTAGTGTGGACCCCATAAATTTGACTTGTTGAAGGAATATTTTCAGTGGACTTCATAAGTTTTCAATTAGAATTGGTGACAGATAATAATCAATGTACAGTTGTGATGATTCAGTAGTGAAAAGTCTTCTAAACAACAGAAAAGTCTCACCTATAAGTCTTAAAAAACACGACTCATCCTTAAAACACGACCTGTGAATTTCTTAGTTGTAATCCTGTGCTTCCCTTTTTCTATTTTTAAACTTGTATTGGTTTGTCACTTACCCTGAGCCTTCCCAGCAAATATGCGTACCCTTCTGCTTCAATCGTTGTTTCCCTTGCTCTTGATCACTTCCTTTCTTTCGATCAACGTTGAGTCGAGTCTAAGCCAGGATGATCTACCATATGCAAACTGCGGCGAAGATATTAACTGCGGTGGCATCAGACTCTCATACCCGTTTCGGGGAGTAAACCGAGCTAATTACTGTGGTCCGCCAGGGTTCGATGCGGAATGCCTAGAGAATGTCCCCATGATCAGCATATCGAGTATCAACTACAGAATTCTCAAAACCAACTATAGTGCTCCCTCTGTTACAGTTGCCAGGCAGGACTATTGGGGAACTATCTGTCCTCAGACTTATGTCAACACCAACATCAACTTCTCTCTGTTTGATTATACTTCTGGGCTTACAAACCTGACCTTTTACTATGGGTGTGCAAGTATAAATATCCCGGGGCTTAACTCTAGTTCCCAACCTTGCGATACAAACAACGACCATGTTACGTATGTCGTGGGAAGTCTCCCATTTGATCCCGTCGTTAACGGTACCTGTAAAAATGGGGTCAGTATTCCCGTTTTCACGACAGCTGCTCTGGCTCTAGAGGCCAATCGAACAACTATCAAGGAAGTGGTAGATGGGGGCTTTGAATTGGGATTGCAGATCAATAATACTCAATGCACCAATTGTGTAGAATCAGGAGGGAAGTGTGGACTTAACACGAAAAATGGTGGATTCAGTTGCTTTTGCCTCGATCAGACCTATGCAATCGTATGTAATGCAACTGCACCCGGAGCAGAAGGTATGCCTGTCCCTTGTCATTCTCTTATAAATTACAGAATTGAATTCCAGGATTGGTGGCATCCACAGTTTTTTTATTACATCCTAGACAGCTACCTAGGTGTGTGTCATTAGGCTCGTCTGTTAAAAACCTGGGTAATTGTGTGCAGAAACAAAAAACAGAAACTACTGAACTTGACGTATACAAGAAAAGAGATCATGTTGCTACGAATTTCAGAAATTGAACATTTTGGATAGAAAATTTTGTAAAACTTTTAAACCCTTAAGAGTGTTCATGTTTTGATCATTTTGATCCTTTGGCACATGCATCGAATTGGAAATCTTGATGGTGCCAGTCAATACTTTTTGTGGCTCTCACTTGACTTCAAAATCCGGATTCCTATTGAAGGGGGCTTGAGGTACAGTTGCTGGCAGGACTCTTGGGAAATTGTTTGTCCTCCAACTTCAGTTAACACCATCAACTGATCTCTGCTAAATTATACTTGTGGGCCTTTTTATAATGGCCTTGATGAAGAGTAAAAGGTCTGTGAAGCAGAGGTTTGGGTGCATAATTGAAACTTCTTGATATATAAATCCATGTTTTCCTGGAAAAAAAAAAAACCTGCATTTTCTGTATAGACTTGGCTGTATCCAATCCATACATATAAAGACTTTTTAAGTTAGTGACTTGACATATTCTTAAAACTTTCATAGACTTTTGTTATAATAAAAGTATACAAAACTCATTCATTTCATAGACTTGACATATTATTAATTTCATGTATGCATGCTCCTTGTTACTCTCTTATAAAAAAAAAAAAAAAAAAAAAAATTAAAATTAAAAAAACAAATACAATTCCAGATTAGATCAAATGTAAAACAACACTGCCAACCCTTGGCTACCCCCTTGGATACCTCTCTCTCCCAATATGTCAGCTTACACTGGTCCCTTCATAAAAATGTAAGGAAGATATACTTGTTTTTATATTGAACTTGAAGTCACTCCACAACTGTCATTCTAAAAGGAAGTGCACGACATTTTTGGAGTGCCAATAACAGTCTTCTTTTTAAATCATTATATAGGGTTCTTCCTTGGGTTTCTTAGATCTACGTCCAAAACGATTAGCTGTCATTGGATTTAGTCCACGTGTTTTTGGTTAGATGTAGGTCCTTTGACATTTATTACTCTCTTTTTTGAGTCAATTTTACCCTTTGATGTAAATAAGGAAAACACATTGAAAATATAAATTTAATGTATTATTTCCTTGTAATTGCATTTCAGAATTTAAATTTTGAATTATATCCTTGATAAATCGTGTTAAGGCAAATAAGCAGTGACAAAAAAGGTAGTTTTTGTTGATCAAATCCAGAAAGATATATCGATTAACATTTGTCGATAGTCTTTTTTTAACAATTGATTATTCATTCATCGATTAACATTTCTCTATCTTGTGGCTGTTTCAGGAAAAAAGAAGGAAATTGCAATAGGTAGGTAATATTTCACTTCTTTAAAACAGTATTTATACTATCTAGTAACTGCTTCGTTACTTGTTTTCGTTGTAGTAATTATAATGAAACAAGTATTTTGTTGCAGGTTTGGCTGTTGGTGGATTTTCCGTGATAATAATCATTCTTTGTATTATTATATGCATATTGTGGAAGCAAAATGTCCGAAAATCGCCCCCACACATATCAAGAAAAAGAATGGTCTTATTCGTCAAGAAAGATAAGAGGGATGAGTTTGATGTTGAGGCATTTATAAGGAACTATGGATCGCTTACTCCAAAGCGGTATACCTATGCAAATGTCAAGAAAATGACAGACTCTTTCAGAGACAAACTAGGTAAAGGTGGACATGGAACCGTGTACAAAGGCAGGCTACCTGATGGGCTTCTGGTGGCGGTCAAAGTCCTAAGCGAGTCCAAGGGTAATGGAGAAGACTTTGTTAATGAAGTTGCTAGCATTGGTAGAACCTCCCATGTCAACATAGTCACTCTTATTGGATTCTGTTACGAGGGGGACAAAAGAGCTTTGATTTATGAGTTCATGCCTAATGGATCTCTGGATAACTTCATACATAGGCACGGATCTGAAATGGCAAATTTTCGATTAGAATGGAAAACACTATCTGAAATTGCAGTTGGTATTGCTCGAGGACTAGAATACTTACACGGTGGATGTAACACAAGAATTTTGCATTTTGACATAAAGCCACAGAACATTCTTCTCGACAAAGATTTTCGCCCAAAAATCTCTGATTTTGGCCTTGCCAAATTATGCAAAACGAAGGACAGTATTGTATCGATGATGGGCACAAGAGGGACTGCAGGATACATTGCACCAGAAGTGTTTAGTCGGAACTTTGGAGGAGTGTCTCACAAATCTGATGTTTACAGCTACGGGATGTTGGTTCTTGAAATGGTTGGGGCAAGAAAGAATTTGGATTCGGGAGTGTCTCATACGAGTGAAATGTTTCCACATTACATTTATAAAGATCTAGAGCTAGACAAGGATGAGAATGTTTTTGGGGCAATCACAGAGGAGGAAAAAGAAATAGCAAGAAAGATGGTATTAATAAGTTTGTGGTGCATTCAGACCATTCCTTCTGATCGGCCATCAATGAGCAAAGTTGTAGAGATGTTGGAAGGACCCCTTCATTCCTTGCAAATTGCACCCAAGCCTTTCTTGTTTTTTCCTACAATAGCTGCAGAAGACTTGGCACTAGAATATTGATAGAGGAAAAACAAATATACAAAAATTAATACCTTTATCAGGACCTCTTCCCTAATTGTAATGCCTATGTCTCACCTCTTCTTTGTCCCCTAGATCACTCCGACTTTAGCCTAAAAAAAGTTGCAGTCCCTTGTACTTCAATCTCCGACAGATTATCAATACCAATCTGTACAGATTATCAACACAAATCTTTACCGATTATCAATTCCCAAGGGGAATTTTATTGTTTACAGCAACTATAAACAACTATCTCATTTATAAATGCATAAACAATTGTCTAATAGAGGGATACGAAAGAGAGAGAGCAATCTAATGAAATTAGATTCATCAGATCTTTCTCTTCTAATCCTCCTATTCTAAATGGTTCTTTGTCAGGCACGTACCTAGGCCCGTCTAACTAGGCTATAACCCGACAAAAATATGGAAAAATAGTCTACATCCCAACTGCACATCAACTAAGTGCGCTTTTCCATTAGGGCATCAAATTTTTTTTTATCTATATTTTACTTATAGGAATCTTATGCTAATAGCTTTCACCCACATCCATCCTTGCAACTACGGAATCTATTTATATGGAATCTGATATATAAAATCATAAACTCTTCTCATTCCAATTTTCCATCAAAAAATTTCATTCAAAACATAACATGGACTAACATGAGAGTCTGACATAGGCCACTTTGGACCGCTCCGCTACAAAGAACCCAAAAGAAAATAGACCCAAAAAAAAAAAGCACAACTCCAAGTCCCACAAAGAACAACCCACTACAACGTAAGACTGTAAAAGAAAAACTCCTATATATGCACACATAGTTCGATATACAAAACAACGTTTGGTGAGCATAAGAACATAGTCAGCAGAAGTACCAATACCAACTCCATGAGTCTATAAAGAACCCAAAAGAAGATAGACAAAACAAAGCACAACTCCAGGCCCAGCAAAGAACAACCTGCCACAACGCAGTACTATCAAAGAAAAACTCCCATGCAAACATAGTTCGATGTACAGAACGAGTGGTGATCGTTAGAACATAGCGAGCAGAAGTACCAATACCAACTCCATGAGTCTTAATCTAGAACCCTACCTAACAGGGCAGGGGTGACCAAGATTGGCCTCTTCATGTGACGAACTTCCAACAAAAGAGCATCATAATAGGAACGTTTATCGGACGCCAAGCCCACAAACGTTCCAGCGAACACACCAGGGGGAATTGGGAGACCCCTCGAGGTTGGCCCCCGTCACCTTTTCAGCAAACTCGACGAAATATGGCTCAACAACAGTAAACGCTCTATCACCACCTGGATCCCAAATCCTCACCACAAAAGAATCCGAAGATATGGGAACAGAGATTGCAACCAACAACCCTATCCTCCAAAAATCATGCATAACACCGAGGATCCTAAAACGCACCAGATCCATTTGATCCAAGAACTCATAGAACCCAACCACCAATAAACTCCTAGCCGGCAGAACCAAAACCTCACAAAAATCCTTATCACAACCCTGACCACCAAGTCACCACAAATGCTAAAGACACAAAGCCACACAACCACGCAAGATTAGAGAACTACACACCAACGCAAAAACCAGACCAGACCACTAGCGAAGCACAAACCCTAAGAACACCACGACAGAATCACCACGCCAAACAGACCTCACCAAAAACCAGCAAACCAACTAAAATACGAACTCTAGGACACCATGACAGAACCACCAAGCCAAACAGTCTCGTCCGAAAACCCACGAGCAAGGTGATGAGCCACCCACCACAATCCCAAGCGGCCACAAAGAGAGACAATTTCCAAAGAACACACCGACGAAAGAGAAGAGCATGACAGGGGAGGATGATGAAGTGTTGGGAGAAGAAGTTTGACAACTACGGCGGCCAAAGGGCATAACCTATATCCAAACCCTAACCCTAACGCTAGTCTGTCCTCACGAGCGAGAGAGAATCCAAAAGCCTTGGGAAAAACATACATCTCTTATTATTCCTTTTTATTTATTTATTAATGTCTTACCAATTCCACTTAATTCTTATGGATTCTTATGTGGTAATTGATGATTTTACTCACTGTGAACTGTTCTGCACGCCTGCGCTGTGAAGCTAAGAATTGTAATCTCATTGATGCTACATAGTCATACTCCTTGTATAACATGTAACAAGTCCAGAGTGTGAACAAGTCTTCCAATCCTATGTGGAAAAAAAAACCTGAAATGCATAGATTTCAACCCTTTAGTAAAATCTGCATTCGTATATGATAAATGATAAATTAGAATACAATGGCAAACAAACAAAACAAAACAAAACAAAATAAAAATATAGCGGCAGATACCAGATCTTTAATTTCAATATACAATTCTAATTCTCCCTCCTTCCACCCTAAATACATTCATCATTATTGTCTTGAACTATTACTCTCTTTTTCTTTCTTTTTTATTTTTTACATTTTGATTTTACATGTGTCACAGTACACCATGGCTAATAGGTACAACAATGAAATCCCTTGACCAGAAAACACTCTAGTACTTGCTTATTTAACAAATACTTGGAATACCTTATAGTTGGTGAAATTAGAAATAATATCACTCCTATTATATTATTGGCTCAATCTATTTTTACTGGATTAATGGAATCACAAATTCAACTATCCAAATAAACAAAGAACTATCCAACTAAAGGAATTTAGGCATGTGTTAATGTTAAATTCAATATAACAATCCAGGTACAACAATATTCTTCTCATCTATGCGCTATCATGGGTAAGTAAATAATTACTGGATGTGTGTTGAACATGAAAAATTAAAAATGTATGCATAACAATGGTGTTATTTTGACCTTCATTTGCTCATTAATATCAAGAACGTCATCTTTTTTATGCATAATTTCAATTAAAGAGAAGTCAATACTGCACCTCATACGTTAATCAGTTATCATCAAATCTGAATATTTGTAAAAGTATAAAAGAGTTAGAGTTACCTTATGGATTTAGGGCGCACATTTGATATAGAGAGTTTATCAATGTCACTCAAAAGTCAAAACTAATTCTTTCCTTGGGAAAAATAATGTTCCACTTGATACATTGACTGGAATGAGAATAAGGAGTGCTAGGACTGTCATTTGAACAAAAATCTTCAAGCTACAAGTACAAGGCAAAAAAAATAGTTTAGTTATGATTATGCCCAAGATAGTAAGCATCTACTTATGTGTGCTAATTCGTTGTTACCTGCAATCTGAGGTAGCATCAGCAATGGAGTCAAAATAACTCTAGTTAAATATAGTCATCCTTCTAGACAACAGGATTTGTCTTGGCCTCTTTTAATCTTCTCTGGTGCAGGTGCATGCGAAATTAACTGAAAGAAGATTCAAAGTCATTTCCTTGGGAAAAGCCATTGAATTCAAACACTGTTTGTCTCAAGCAAACAAAAAGAATATGTACATTTACAGAAACATAATAACTTCACTTTCCATATCTGAGTTCTATTTCTGGCTTTCTTAGCTCCACGGAGAGAAAAATGAAACTTTGTTGCCTGTGTTTGTTTCTCCTTCGCTCTATTGCAAATGTCCTCCCCTCTCTGTCTGCCGGCTATGATAAGCAATACCTAAACTGCAGTAAAACATTTTGGTGCTCAGGAATAGATGACAATGACATAGGATATCCATTCTGGGGTCTCCACCGGCCAGAGTACTGCGGCCACCCTGCATTTGAACTAGAATGCAAAACCGATGGCCCTGAGATCTCAATCATGTCACAACGTTACCAGATTTTTGGAATCAACAACATGACAGACTCTCAAAGTTGCCTTAGCAGATTTGTGGAACAATACTTGTCCAGCAGGCATTGTCGTCAATACTACTCTGGATCGCCAGTTCTTTAACTAAGCTTCTGATAGTCATAAGCTCATACTGTAGTGTGGATGCCCTTCAATTCCAGAGCTTTCTTTCCAGTCAATTGATTGCGCAGTAAATGGAAATGACACAGGCAACTTCAGCTACTACGATGTGGCAAGGAACCTAACATCAGCAGGCAGTCGTTTGGGCATGTGGAACAGCCACGTCAACGTTCCTGCAGATCAAACGGCATTGTTAAATCTACAAAACAATCCAATCAGTCTGGCTGCGGTTTTACAAGGTGGTTTTAGATTGTTGTAGACAGCAAATAATAGTCTATGTGATGCATGTAGGGCAGTGCGGGTATAATCTGAGTTCAACAGGATTTTCATGCTATTGCCCTGATCAGCCTTATTTATCTAAATGTCCAAGGGTTCGGATAAAACCAGGTATGTCTTCCTTGTTCTTTTAAAATTCATTTTGGAATAGGAAATTCATCCTAAACTAATGAATATGCAGGTCAACCAGCACAGTTTCTTGCTTAGATTTGAAGTTTTAGCTCTCGAGTTTTGGGCCCCAGAACCCAAAATCTAAGTTTGTACGGTTATTCTATACATAAGATAATTAACCCTATAAAAAATGTGACTGAAAATATAGAAAAAATATGATAAAAACATGCTGCCAGTTGAATGATCTAGCATCCTTCAGTCAAAATCAACGGGCTAGTCTACCGGCCTCCTATGCTGCTCAACCGGCACTGCATCCGAAATAATTTTTTTAACTCGAGACGTCACTGTAGAGAGAATGTCCACACAAATGACACTTTCACTAACCCGCTTCATCAATTTTTCCTAGTGTAGTACTTATTTGTATTTCCACATCATATTTTTAACAAAATATTGGAAGAAAGTGAAAGCCATAGCATTTAAAACTGAGGGATTTAGGTCTCCAAGGGATTACTAAGGAAGAACAAACAGTAAGGAAAATGATTTTGGTAAGTTTGTGGTGCATTCAGATTAATCCCTCTGATCGGCCATCCATGAGTAAGGTGATAGAAATGCTGGAAGGTAGCCTTCAAACCATGGAAATTCCTCCAAAGATATTCTTGGCTTCTCCAGCAAGATCTCATCATTCTGGCACAACATCGTCATCTCAATAAAATCCACGATTTAGAAACAGAAATGAGGTTCCAAATTGTTCAAAAAATACTGCATGCAATGTAATTACTATCAAGTTATCAAGTAGCAGTAACTGCAGGTAAATTCAAGTCTTGCAACCTGAATTGTTAAAGCAAAGGTGAATGTCATACAAATGCATTACAATTTTACAGTGAAGTCCTCAGCAACAATTAGTTTCAAGATTATACAATAAACTCAAGATCCATATCAAAAAGTAGTTTTTGTTTGCGCAAAAGCAATAAAATTTCGTACAGACAAGACTCTCACATCCTTTCTATTTTTCTCTTTCAATTTCAAGAAACTACTTTCAGGCCATCGATCAGTACTTTCTTTTTGTTGGCAATATAAAATATAACAAAAAAAAAAAAAAGTAAAAAAAAAAAAAAAAAAAAAAAAAAAGAAGAAAAAACAAATTCCAAATTATTAAGATGCTTATAACAACCAATTTAACCAGTGATTGGATGACTGAGACCAAGCAGATTATGGGGATTCAGAATGCAAGCAACGGATTTTATAAATTTTCTAATATTAGGAACAGATACGATTTATTAAGAGAGTTTAAATGGATCTCATAATCTAACTGAATGACACAAACTATGCTTAACCTGGCAGAGAAAAATCATACTAGGCAGGACATTCTAGTGTATTATTAAATACATCATGTACAATCAAGTGAACTTAAATGAATTGGCTCAAGCTTTTCTCCAAAAGGTTATAAAGAACTGACCTAACTTTTTTCTTTTGTAGAGATATAATGTATCTAAGCTAAAATCTGGTGTACATGTGAACTAGTCTATCATAGTCAAATGCTTGGGGAATATATGATACAAACAATTTTGCAGACTAATACTTTGAGATTCCAAGGCCTACTTACTTGTAAAGTGAATTGATGACTGAGAAGAAATTTCTGTCCTATGGCAAATCAACATGAAGGAGCCGAAAATTCAAGGGAAACAGCATGATACATCAATTAGTCAATAGTATTTCAAACTTCAGATTCTCTTTGATCAACTCCTCTGCTTTTTTCCAGAGTTTCCTGCCATTCATGGGCTCAAAATGATTTTAGGTTCATCTTGAAGTTCTTACTAATGAGGCAACACATGAAACAAGTCATATTAGACGTCTAACGCTTGGCATAAAAGTTCTAAAGTGAGGATAAAAAACAAAGAAACTTGCTGATAATGGAAGAAAGATCGAAGAAAGTTAACTCATTTAGGATTTAGTTAGGATTTGTAAGGCTCATTAGACATAACTTGAAAAAGATGGAAGAGTAAGCCTCAAGCATTTTGTTTCAGGAAAAAAATTGAAAATCTTACCAGTTTGAGTTTCAAGTCTAAGGTTGCTTGCTGTCTCTGGGATGCAAAAAACATGAGTGACTGAGATTGAAAAGAAGGAAGTGGATTAGTATTGGAAACAGTGGTATCAAACAAAGTTAGAGAAATAGTAGAATGATAGGAAAACAAGATCTTACTCCAATTCTCTGCATTTCAAGAGATCTATGCAATGCTTTTCTTTTAGATAGAAGATTCCCCCCTGTTGGCCTTAAAGGCCGTTGGTAATTTTTCCCACGGTAAATAATAATAGCATGGCCTTCTTTTAGCTTATCCACTGAAACTAGAATCCCACCACTTTCTGCTTCAAGCAACTTTGCAGTGTGCATGACCTGTCTAAACAGTTTCTGCATCGTAATAACCTTGACTACCTCTCTGTGCTTCCAATGCTGATGAAGACCTTCCATTACACCATTAAAAACCCCACGCCTGCCTGAAGCCGACAATGAAGTAAAAAGGTATGATATAAAGAACAACTTATCAAACCAGGATGAACAAGATTTAAATTAAACCTTCAAATTAGAACTAGTGCCCCTTCCAGACAAACTGTTAAATAACACCAGATATATCATAGGGCTTTGAGAGATTTATGAAAACATTATTAGGAAAACATCAATAGGAATAGGCAACGTATCATAATAAAAAGGAATTCTAATTAATGTATGAAGAAAGGAAAAGCAAGGCACAGCATTATGTCATTTGTGCTGCTTTTAAAAAAAACAACCTAGCTCTCTCTTAAACTTTAGTAGCAGACTGCTAAAACATCTATGAGTTGGAACCTCCATGTGGCTAGGAATTTAAGATCTTTAGTAATGAGAATCTGATTTTGTTCCCAGCCTGAGAAATGCAAACTTTTTTTTTTTTGGTGATACCCAGAAATTCACGAATCCCGTTTTGAGGACACAGCTTTGAAACTGGGGCCCCGCCCAACCCTACAATCTTTGGGAGGCAAGGAAACACTAGCAAATAGCTAGCCTGTGGGGGTTTCGAACCTTAGACCACATGGAGCAAACCACGGGCATGACCATTCCAAACTTTTTTATTTTTATTAGATGAAATCGAACCATAATTCAGAAGCAAGAAGAATAAAATCTGAAACAACAATAAATGGTTATACACATATATATAAATTAAATTGCAACAATCAAGATTAATCTATTATCTTATTAAAAAGAAAAATAAACCAAGGATGGTTTGGGCAGCAAAAAGATAAGGCTCCATCAGCCATAAGGAATCCATTGACCAACACAAAAATATATTCTATATATATACAGTTATTCTCTCATCCAGATGTCCGCACGTTATTACTGTGTGGATGCCATTGTAAATGGGGAGGAAAACAAGGAGGGGTAGTAGAAAATACATGGCGTCCACACCGTAATAACATCCGAACGTCCGCATAGGAGAATTACTGTATATATATATGTATCCTTCAGACATTTTACTTTCACATGACCCAAATAGTGACACTAAAAGTGAAATTCCTTTCAAGTTGTGATATGGGACTAATGAGTAGTCTATATAAATATAACACTGAAGATAATGAATGTATGGAGAATAAAGATTACAGGGTTAGAGCTATTAATGTTTATAAGTGATGAAAGTTTCTCTTTACCGAGCACCAAGCAACTATGCATCTTCAGTCCTATCGTTCGTAAACATTCTTTCTCTTCCTCAGTCATCATTTCCTGGTCAACATCCTGCTCAGCAGGTGTCCTTTGAGAATTCAACTTTGATAACTCATTTGTTGATTTCTCTATTTTTTTGTTTAGCTGAAAAAACAATAACAAACTATTATGATTGACAAAACAATTATGAAAAAGAAAAGCGGTAATGAATGTTTTACGAGTTAGAATCTTACAATGAAAAACTTCCGTTCTTGATTCCTCAGTTCCCTCTCTAGTCGTTCCTTTTCAGCTTCCAGCTTAATTTCGACATTCTTATTTTCTTTTATAAGTTCTCCATACTCAGTTTGGATATCTTGGAATTCTGATAATGTTCCAACTGTATTCACTAACGGTTCACCAGATTCACAAAAAGTTTCAATTGCTTTTTGGCGTGCATGTTCTTCGTAGAGTTGCCATCTTGTGAGCTCCACTTCCCTTTTTGCTACTAAATCTGCAACCCCACAAGGAAGGAAGTCCTTGCCTCTATAAAGTAATATAATAAACTTATTACGTAGTATCAGAACTCCTCCTGTGAGACACTGCATTAATAAAAATTACCTTTAAAATACATTTATATTTCACAAGCAATATGCAGCAGTTGCAATGTAGAAATGGAACATAGGCATGCATGTCGACCAGCGAAAGAGTTAATTTCATACAACTTGGTGGAAAAGCGACAACATGATACCCAATGACTTAGGTGCAAGTAACATTAAGGACATGCCCTCAAAGTGCAAAAGAGAAAACAGCTTCAGGTAGGGATGAATGAAAAAAAGAAAGCTGTAAGCCAATACGTACTTAGTTGAGATTAAGGCTTCATTTTCTTGTTGAGATTACAGCTTAATTGAATTTATCTATTATGGCTCAAGCTTGGTGAAGTTATTGTGATTTTTTGTTGAAAAGAAGAATTGGCAATTGTGAATTCTGATCAGGCGGATAATCGTTCAGGAAATTAATAGGTAGGCAATTTTTCCCACAAAAGATGAGTCATTAATATACACCTTTAATTACCCAATACTGATATGCATAAGTAAGGTTTTCAAAAAATAATGGATGTCGTGTATGTGCATATATTCTCTTAAACTTGCCTTCAGCTCATATGCCATTTGCTCGTTGTTTGTGTTCGGAACTCCGAACTTCACAGCAATCTTCGCTATAAGACTTTTCTCCCACAATTTTAAAATGGCAGCAGCGAGGCCTTGAAGTTTTCTGTTCCTTCCTTCAGAAAGTAAAAAAAAATTAAATTTAAAAAAAGGCAAACAAAAGTAGAGAAGTTGAATATATAGAAATGTATGCATGCATTGCCAAGTATGGTCCTTTTTTGGGGAAAAATTGACATATAACAGCAGGAAAGGTAATACCTAAGACAAAATGAGTAGGTAATGAGCGAGCAAACTTCCTCAAGAATGTTAGTTCATCATCTGTCAGCTTTGATCTAGTGTGTGGTGGACAACGCCTAATTGGAGCTTTGAACCCAGGAACCACTTCCGGAAGCAAGTCCGCATCTACTGGCAAAGGTTTGTGCATCCACCAGTCAATGAATCGAGGTCCCAAGCCATCCAATAATCTATCTGCTTCCTTCTCATATAATGACCTAGTAGTTGGTTGGCAACTCATACTGGTTTCTTGAGAGGTTCCAGTTTGAATACAATCCTCTTCTGCATCCTTTCCGCTCATCTTTTCATCCACAGGACTTTCAAATGATTTATATTGATAACTACTACTTTCTTCCAAATCCGGCTGCATGTGATCGGAGGACAATGTTTCTTGACGGTCAGCAGAGCATGGGCGCATCTTTGGAAAAAATTTTGAACTCGACTGATAATTGCATCCTCTATAAATTACAAGTGTATCTTTCTTTCGCCAAACAACCATGCCTCCAGTCTTGGTCTGTATATGAAATATATGCACGCACACACACACACATATATCATCATCACTGGAAACTGTAATAAGAACACAAATATATATACAAGAATTGAACCAGCATACAAATGTTGATCAGTTAATACAACTCTCATAATAACTATCTCTAATTTTGTAAGAAGAATCCCAACAGGCAAAAGTCCCATGCTACACGAGCTGTTATTAAAATGAATCTCTAAGTTCAATGTTCTTCAAGCAGACAACCAAAGTAACTGAACATAAAGCATATATTTCAAAAAATGAAATGCTGCAGAACAACAATTAGATGTTATGCCAAGACAAAAAGTACTTTTGGCATCAAGTAGCATGAAACTAAAGCTTTCCCATATCAGCAGATAAATTTTGGCTAATGTAGAATGACTTCAGTTACATTATATTAGTTAGTGTTACTCAAATCTTTGAACAGTAAAGCTATGTCATTCTAGAATATAATCCTTCCTATTAATTATACATTAAATATGAAGCCACTACAATCAGTTTTGTTAAACTCAAGAAAATGATTAGAAATTGTCAGAATATAACATTCTCTGCATGAAAAAAGACAGTAAAGCAAAAGAACAAACCTAACCTCAACTATTTCTTGAGCTCTATGCATATTCCGGCAGAGAGGCACATCAAATTTGACCATGGCAAGTTCATTTGTTTTCCAAATGAACTTTATATCATCCACAACGGCTTGAGTGACCCCAGCTTTCTTGACCTTCACCCATTTCCTCATCTTAGCAGCCTCACCTCTCAACCTCTCAAGCAACTCTTTCTCGAGGCTCAGTTCGGCTGCACTTGCCACCCTTTTCTTCTTTATTCTCTGAAAGACGATCCTTTCATCCCTCTCCCACGGCATTTTCCCGCCAAATCTTGATTCCGCAGCTTTTCCAAGTCCCTCCAAGCAACCACCAATTCCAAACTCCACAAAATCTTTGTGGGTTTCATCCCATTTTTCATTTTGTCCAAGTCCCTCCAAGGAATCCCAAATTCTAAATTCCCCAAAACCTTTCTGGGTTTCATCTGTTTTCTGGTTTGGTCCAAGCCTTTCAATGCTTTGGACAATTTGCTTGATTGCTTTATCGCCTCTAATGCCAACTAACTTCCCAGCCAGCACAGTATCCGGCTTTTCGGCTTTGGCATTGTTGTGGGTCTTCTTGTTTCGGGGTTTTGAGAAGTCAATGACTTCATGAGGTTGAAGAAGAAGAGGACCCTTCATCCATGGAGCTGTGGGCGCCTTAATACAAGCGTCAGTGCTTGAATTAGGCTCTGATGGAGCCTTCGAATTCGGGGTTGTCGTGGTGGAGCTGAGTGAGAGAGAATTGGGAGATTTTGAGGGAATTGGGTTAGTTGGTTTGGGGTTTTGTGGAGGTTTTGAGTTTAAGGCAGATGAGATGGGATTGTATGAATGGAATCGTGGGTTTGAGTGAGAGGGAAGATGATGGGTAGTGTTTAGTAGAGTGGAAAGAGGAGTGAGAAAGAGAGTGGCAGACATTATTTGCTTCTGAGGGACTGTGGAGGACAGGGGAGAGTGAAGTGAGGATGAAGTCTCTCTCAGTTTCTTATCTTGGGTTTTCTCCAAGAACTGGTGATGGTTTGATCATGGGATAACAGAAAAAGAATTGGATATTTTGACAGTCTGCATTTTGGGTTTGGCAGCTTCTATTTGCACCGGAGATGTGGACCCATAAGCACCAAAAAATAACTCCAAAATTAGGAAAATTAGAGGCGGTAATTCGTGTTAACTTTAGTTGACTCGTTTAATATTACTATATGATAGTTTCATCATGTGCAAAGCTATTTCCAGGCTGTTCATGTGTCCAAATGCCGCTGCCTCATTGTAAGAAATGCACTTCGTTTTGCAGGAAATTCAATTACAACTTTACTATTAAGGGTTCATCAGTTTAAATTTAAAAAACCAAACAATTGTCAACTCGTTGCCATGTCAAATGATAATTTACTATTTATTTTTTGTTTTTTTCACAAATTTGTTTACCTAAACAATTAATTTTGATAAGATTTTTGGGTTCGTACATGTCAATATTTATTATAAAATTCATATCTCAATCGGATAAAATAAAAAAAAAAAAAAAAAAAAAAAATAAATTTTTTGGTATTTTTTTAAAAAAATTTAGATTTTTTTTTTCATTTTTTTTATTGCACAAAAATTGGCTGCCGTTGGATTGGAGAAAAAAAAACTAATCGGAGAGCCCAGAGCGCGACACATGGACTTTAGCGGCACTGTAGCACGTGGGCACTGTAGCGATGACGTCAGCAACAGCCCTCGGGCTTGAGCTCGGGCTGAACTGGCCTAAGGGCCAGCCCGACTTCGTGGGACCCACTCCCAGCCCGAGCTTGAGCTGTCCGCTGGAACACCATTTTTTTTTCCCCACCCCCCCAACCTTGGGTTCAGCCCTCCGCTGGAACTGCTCTTATGGACTGAGGACATGTTAGGATCTAGCTCTTCGATTAATTTAAGGGCACATATAGTTAGTAGTTTAAACCCCCATTTATGGTTCTTGTCCTTTTTTTAACAAATGATATTAGGGAAAGAGAGAATCCAACCTAGGATCGAAGGTACAGGGATAAATTCTCTTAACCGATTTAGCTATAAGTCCCTTACCTAAATTGAGTTTCTATTTTCTAAAAATCAAGTACTCATGTTTGACATTAACCCCGAACTGTTTATTATTCGTGTTAGCGAATGATGTCATATTTTATGGAATTCAAGTTGTGTCATGTCATCAAAAAATTCACTCCTACCCTACTTACCAAATTAAACTTTGGCAGCCTCTATATGACCTCTATTATTTGAAAGTCTAATGCGCAAGTTACCACCATGCTCACCTAATCTTTCAAGAACACCTTCCCTGAAACCCAAAACAAGTTAACCTCATTGTTCTATGCAACATCTACATAGTATAGAGACTGTTTCAAAGGTTCTATGCAATGTTGTACAATCAACTTAAGCAAAGACGCAGTCCTGTTGTTCAAAGGTTCCTTTCACTCATTTCCACAATTCCATTATCTTTAAATCTTAACAGAAAAATTTCCACAGCACATCTCTAATTCCAGTCGGAAAAAATATATCTCCAATTAAGAAATTCCTAATTCATTCAAAACATGCCCCAAAAGTTCACAACTGCAGTTTATTTCAGTGACAACATGGGCTATGGGATTTAGGACCAACTGAATAAATATGAAGGAGATAAAGCCCCTGCTAATGATGAAACTATCTTTGCCAGCTTCTATGTACAAGCAAAGACCACATACACGAAAAGAAACCCAACCAGCATAGAAAATCAATGAAAAATCAAAGCTGCATAAAGGTAACCGACACAGTGAGTTCATCATAAGACCTTTAATTCGTCGTCAATAGGATCACGAAGCGTTCCAAACATCCAATCCATCCATATTGTATAATGGCCGTAATTATGGCGGTAAGTTGTATGATGTATGGTGTGGTAGCCAGCACCCATGACAGGCCATATTTTGGCATGGATGCAATCGTGAATGTTTGCTGTCCATATGGCCTCGATAAATAGGAGCGCTATGTGGGTTGTGAAATGCATTGGCACAACAAACAGAGCTATAACATGTGGAACTGCCTGCAGTATCCCATCAATTGGGTGAAAAGCCAAACCTGAAAATAACACATCCAAAATAGTCAGTAGCACGAAAGTAGGAAACAAATTTCGACGCCTGATAGAAAGGTGGAGGTTCAAAAGAAATCAAGTATTCGAACCTGAAGGTAATAAAGATAAGTTGAACATATTTGATTTTATGAAGTGAAAACCAGTAAATGTTCTTTCCTTCTTATGCTTTTGGGTGATCAAGAAAAGTGAACCACTATATAGTGCATGATAGACTAATCCATATAACGATAACAGCCATGTTCATCAAAAGCCTTGAGTACACGCAGAATGGACCAAAAGACAAGTAATGGACAAGCTGTCCACTGGAGTACATAAAATCCATAACCACATAGCTTCTATAAACATTAAAAAAACAATCTTAAATGATCCCAAGCAGAATGCAGAACAGCTATACAAAGCACCATAAAAAACGAACTCTATCCCATAATCCCCCACTTAGAATAGACTTTTTAAATCACTTTCATAAATACAAACCATACATGGAATATTATTACCTGAGTACTATCAAATCCAAGTCCACTAAATTGTCAATGCATAGATTGTTTTCTACAACCTGATGTTGGAATGGCCTTAGTAGCAAAAGCATAATATCAAAAGCCTATGCCATACCAAACTCTAATTGGTGAGAATAAGGTTGAACTATTGGTCAATCAGTGACTCTGGGGGAGAACTTGAGGACATTCAAGTTTTGTTAATCCTAGAGAGAGAGAAGTTTGCAGAGGAAATGAAAGATGGTACATCATTAGCTTGTTAAGCTGCCAGAAAGAGTGGATGTAAATGCACAATTCACCCAACTCTACAAATATGAAAACTAGATATCATAAACTGTTCAGTTTTGCTTGATAAAGCTGAAAGGCCAAGGCCATAACATTGAGGGAATGGTATTTGTATCAATAAATTTTAAACAGGGTAGCTTTAGAAGAAAGAACAATTTAAAGTGTACACACATTTCATGTAGTTCATGCTTCTCACTGTTCCAGAAAGCAACTGAGAATTGCAGTGTTAATTTCCTGAAAGCAACTAAGAGCTGCAGAGCTCTACAGCCAAAATCGCTTTGAGAGAGAACAAACATCTTAAAATATGAAGAAAAAAAAACATGAAAAACAAGAATATTAATGGAATTTTATTTGCACTCCAAAAGTGGCCTCTTGCACTTAATGGTTATTAATTAATAACAGTAACTTTAAGAATATTAACGGAATTTACATACGGAATAAACAAGAAGGGATTATAAAGTGTGAAATGTCTAGAATTGCATTAAAAGTCTTTTAAAAAGAAATCCGGCGCATGCTTAAATTGGGGCAGAATAGAGAACTCAATTGGCAGGATAGAAAAAATTAAACAAGATGATAATAACATTGTATATGGTGCTCCAGCATGAGATACGCACAGAAGGAAAGGTGGGAGAGCAAGAGAGAGAGAGACGGAGAGAGGGGAGAGACAGAGAAAGAAAGAAAAGAAAGAGTTCAGGAAAGAGCATAAGAGAAACATGCAACCTCATGAAGTCCGCCAAACATTTTTCACATATGTAGTAACACAAATAATAAAATCAGGAAATAAATCAGAAATTACTAAAATATATGTGCACATGCTTGCATCCAATTTAGATAGATGAGATAAATATAATTTTTTTCAGTTACAGATGAGCTAATATTAAAAGTGGCATAAAGCATGAAAGTTGGGTAGTTTGACAGCTTACCAGCAAATGGAGAGAGGGTATTCTGCTTGTTGTAGATGTGGTGGGTAGCATGAAGATATTTATACAGAGGTTTTATGTCATGTAACTCTCTATGCATCCAATAAATTCCGAACTCCACGAATATAAGATAAATTGCTAAATACATCAGGTATGCATGCCAACTGACATCACTTATTCTTGAGAAGCACCTTGCCCAGCCATTTTCAACCATGTACTCAGAAATGGTTGGAAGAGCACTGTACCAAGGCATGGCCTTCATGGCAACATATATTTGCAAAAGCATGGCTTTATTAGAGGGAATGGCATCTGCAATGAGGGAGTGAAATGTCAATCTGTACTAAGTGGGAAGACATTTTTTCCCTAGTTTTTCAACATTCAAGAAAGCAGAATTCCAAGTTTCAAGTGTCATGAAGAGTCCCCAACTTTCAGTCATACAAATAAGCATTCATACTCACTCTTCAAGAGTCCTTATAAGTATGGATTTTGATGTTCTAAAGTTATTCCTACCCGTTAATTGACTAACATAAAACAGTTTCAGGGTACTAGCTACTTTAAAGCACGTAGTGTAGGATCAGTTTGTACTTGGGATTACACAAAAACCAACAAAATGGTTGTAAATACAGAAGAAATCCTACAGTCAATAAACAAAATAGCAGAGGATCAATAACCTTGTAGTGTATCAGGTGAATGTATGTCGATATTATTTTCTTTTTCCTTCTTTTCTCGTCTCAGAACAGTTTCAATCCAAACAAAAATTTTGAGAAAAAAAAACAAAATTACAACTCCTGACACACATATAACCATGTGGGAAAACCAAGAATTCTGCAGAATGGTAGACTGAAACATGACGGGTTCATTCAGATAAATATTGTCCACACTGAGCATTTACAAGGGATCATAAACACATGTTCAACAGTGAAAGAACTCAAAAAATAAAATAATATATTCATCTCATCTTTTATGTTTTCTTTGATCTGGGAAACAACAAGCTCGCATCATCATAGCCAAGTAGCCAAACTTTGTTTTTTTTTTATAAAAAATTACACAACCCATAAATGAAACAGAGCTTGAAAATTAAAAAGAAAAAGGTCAAGAAAGAAAACAAACAAAACCCATTTCATATCAAACTTTTGAGCACGTCAAAAAAACGCAGTAACTCAAATTTTACTCATCAACCAATATCAAATAAAAAGCTAAGATACAGATCCGTCGTTGTACATTAGAAACAAGTTGAACTAAATATTCCACCTAATTTCACTGTGAATCAAACTGTTCCACCTAATTCGTAGAAAACCCAAACAGATTCAAAAGTTCTGAACCAAGCAAAACCAATCTGCAAATTCACTAAATATAAACAAAACATAGCCCAACTCTCACAAAATATAAACTTCCAAAATCAGAAATGAAAATGAAAAACTGAAAATAAAATGGAAAATAACAAGAAGAACAAAATAAAGTTTTAACATATGGCATAGACCACTCCCATCAGTCCAGACTAAGCTAATTCACCAAAATAAATAAATAAATAAATAAATAATGGAAGACAAAACAATGTGTTGGTCTGCAACTCTGTTTTCTGATGTTCATATAATTTCCCTTAAACCCAAGAGAGAGAGAGAGATTCAGAATCAATAACCAAACAGAACCCATCAAATTCCAGACTCATATATCCCATCCCAACAACCAAATCACCACAAAACAATCCTTTTATTATTTTTAAAATAAAAAAGTCAATGCCACTGAAGAACGAAGAGAAAAAAAATCAGAAAACATATATGCAGATGTGTTTGTGTTTGTGTTTGTACCTTTTGGGATATAAACGCTGCGTTTCACGTAGTATATGTAGAAGCACCACAAGACGCCGGAGACGAGGTAGAGCAAGGTTCCGCCGAGGTAATTGCGCAGCCATGTCTGGAAGAAGTGGGGGAGAGGGGCCCACAGTCCATTGGGCACGAGGCTGCCGAGCACAATGCGGTTGTAAAACGCCGTCTCCTCCAAGAACGGGTTCAGGTACGTGCCGTTCATCTGCGCGATTGTCCCGGCGATGGGTCGCCGGAGATTTGAACGACAGAGAGAGAGAGAGAGAGAGAGTGAGCTGGAGTTGAAGTAGTATACTATTGTGAGATTCCTTTTGTATGCTTTTATGTGTTTATATGTTGCGTTCCAAATCTACCAGAGAAAGGTAAGGGGACGAGGAAATTTCCCTTATGTTTAATGGTTGCTACAACATTTTATGTGGCCCAGCTAGCACCGTTTCCAAACTTTAAAACAAATAAATAAATAAAAAATTGGAAATTGAACTATAAAAACCAAACGAGTGCTGCTATTTCCACTTTTTATCTTATATCTCACAAAACATGTAAATTTTAAAAAACACAATCTTATTTTTTTACTCACCATTATTTCTAAAATACATTTTAATTATTAATTCAAGAAAAAGAAAAAGGAAAATATGTCTGAGCAACTCAAAAAATTTATAAAAAAAACACTCAACCCTTCCCGTCCCAACCCTACCCCCTCTACCTACGTTACCATAGGCTCCACCTCTCTTCCTCAAGAGTATTGCTATTTTCACCCCGTCTTATTTCCTCATCCGCTTTAGGTAATAGAATGTCTACATAGATATTCCTAACCTCAAAACCAAAGACAAAAAGTTACATACATTTTTTACCCAAATAGTTGCATGTTTGTCTGTTGAGTGAATCTATTCAACGCATAAAAGGAATCGTAGTCGTTGGAATTCGCAGTCCATAGATTTCACATTCATACCATGGTCTCAATTATTATATTCTAGCAAACTGAATGCCAGTACTTGCTAGAATTCATTACACTCCACCTGATGCATATTGGCTGTATACAGTATTCAAGTATGCCATGATGCATATTCAATAACGTCATCTAGGAGACGTACTTTTTTATGCTGTGCATTATGAATCCGGCTTTGAAATAAAAAGGCAAAAACAGTGGGTTGGCAAAGTAGTAAAAAAAAATGTCAGTAGAACTGCAGAACTTCAGGTCCTGGTGATGAATGGAGAGAAGCCGATCAGGTTATCAAAATTGTTTGACTGATAAGTGATCTTTTTTTCTTTTTCTTTTTTCTACTGATTTTTTGTGGTTGTTCTTTTAGTCTTGGTTTTGGTCGAAACTCTTGTTTGATCACTTTTTTTTTGTCGTTGAGAAAAGTGGATCACTTTAGACATTTTGTCAAATTAATACTGTATAGGCATATATGCATTTTAGATTAATCTGACGTTAGATATATTTATGAACTTGATCCACACGCATACGCGTGGTTGATTAGAATTCAATTATGAATGGGCCCAAAGATGACAACCCAGCGTTGACGGCACGGGTGACACAGCTGCTTGATTTACACATTTGGGACCATTTTATTTTTTTTGTAGTCTTTTTCTATTACGTGGACCGTCATATACGGTTCTCAGGTGCATACCTGTATTATTAGCCGTAGGATTAAATTGAATTGTTCAGATTTGAAATTAAGAGAATATTGCTACAGCTGCTGAGCACAACCCCACCCACCTTTTACTCAATAATCATGACTAGGAGTGTACATTGGTTTGAAACCAATGAATTTTTATTAATCCAATCCAATCAATCTTTTATTGGATTTGAGATTTTACAATTCAATTCAATGTATTCGGATGTCAGAATCCAATCCAATCAAATGTACAAATTTAATTGGATTGGAGGATCGGTTTGTATGAAAATATGATAATCGCAAAGATAATCGTATATAATTTAATTCAATATAAAATATTATTAAGGATACACTAAATAGATATAAATAAATGTTAGAAAACAATATATACTAAATAGACATAAATAAATTTTAGAAAACAGTCAAACAATACAAGGGAAAGAAATAAAATCTCAATTACACAAGATTTGTACAAAAGAGAAAGAAATGAAATCCTAATAGAATAGGAATAAATTTCCTAATCAAACTAGGATCTCGTCAGCACTCCCCCTCAAGTCGAGGTAAAGATGTCATGCATACTCAACTTGTCAAGCGAGTTGAGAAAGACATTGGTAGAAATAGCTTTCGTAAGAACATCTGCTAACTGATACTCGAAACTTATGAACGGAAAAGAAATAATCTAAGCATCCAACTTCTCTTTAATAAAATATCAATCAACCTCCACATGCTTTGTGCGATCATGTTGCACAAGGTTATGAGCAATCGCAATTGTAGCATTATTATCAAAATATAAATCCATGGGTTTATGTGGCTCAAATCCAAGATCTCCCAACAATCTCCTCAACCACAATAACTTGCATAGACCTTGAGACATGCCATGATACTCAGCCTCGGCACTAGACCGAGACACTATATTTTATTTTTTACTTCTCAAAGTAACAAGATTACCATCAACAAATGTGAAATAACTAGATGTAGAACGTGTACCAATGACTGAACGATCACCATCTCCTAAGGGACTTTCAAGAGGGTTCTCCACCTCTCCCTTATTATGCTAATATATTAGCACATGCTTGAAAACAATATTCAATTGGATGGGAATCAAAATAATTATACTTAATATAGAAATTGCTCGTTCACTCACCGAATGCCAAAACCTAATAACCAAAAAACCTGAAATTAGCTTTTTTTGGTAATTAATGAGCTACCCAACTTTAGGGTACCATACTAATATATTTGCACATGTTTGTAAACCATAGTCACTTACATGTGCAAAATAATCATACTTATATAGCAATTACTCATTCACTTACCCAATATCAAAACCTAATTAGCAAAAATGCATAAATTAGCTTTTTTGGTAATTCAAATATCAAATAAAAAATACAAAAATACACAATTTCAAAATCACCTTACAACCATTTGAGCTCAACCAAGATGTTTTGAATGATGAAATTTTGTAGTATCCAAAGACCAAAAGACCAAAACACCACCACGGCAAAACCCAGAGAGTTCGAAGGATGTGCAGCTCACATAGTTTGAAGGAGAATCAGTATTGAATAAAGTGTGAGAGAAGATGAAGAGCTCATAGAGTTATGAACGAAAGTGTGAGAGAAGACAGACAACTCAGAGAGTTATGGAAGAAAGTGTGATACAACATGGAGAGCTAAGAGAGAATGGAAGAAACTGTAAGAGAAGATTGAGAGGTTGCATCAATTTTTTAATTTTTTTTCCATAAGTTTGCATCTATTTTCGTAGTTTTAATTTTAGAGTTTAAAAAGTTTTAAAATTTGAAGCTCAATGTCTAGTGGATCGTGGGAGCGGGTAAAGTTAACTTATTTATACTATAATTTTACCTGTCATATTTAATCCAATGACTACCAAATATAACCTAGGGACTAGAGACAAACTTTTTTTTCAGCCCTGCATATGCGTAAGAGAAACAATGGGCCTAAGAGAAATCATTTTTATGTTTGTTAGATTTTGTTTTGTCACGTGTTCTTTATGGTAAAACTTCACATTTCTTTTGTTACAATAACTGTAAAGCAACTCAAAAGCCTAAATAAGCATTAGTACCACTGCCTAAAGCAATGTCGTCATCAAATCCACCACATTTAGTCTCGAAGAAAATGTAAAATATCTCGTGAATATGGGTAATCCTTAGTTTCCAGCAACAAAATACGCATAAACTAGCAAACAAATGTCTTAAACTAACGCCAATAGCAAAATAAAAAATAAAAAATAAAAAATAAAAAAGCAATATTGTATCAAACTCCTTCAAATATAGGGAAGAACTATATTTAGAAGAAAAAAAAAGAAACTTTTAGGCATAAACCATTCATTTTTTTCATATGTCAAATTTTGAAGCTAATTTATCTAGCAAAGACTTCATGTATGAAATAAAATTGAGAAGGGGATTAAATTACATCATAAGTATAATATTGTTCTAACAAATTTTACGGATCAAAACCAAGCAGCAAAGGAGCAACTCGCAACAATGGCTCCAATGTATTAGGCATAAATTTTCTAGCAAACAAGAAACATATTGAAGTTGTATTGCCATTGTATTCACATTCTGATCCAAACCGAATCCGATTCAAAAACTCATCTGTGATATCACTCCCTCCAAATTTTCCAGGATGAGGACCACTCCTTGACCAATCCACCCAAGTAATGCTCCTTTTTGAATTCAGCTCAGAGTACAACAAGTTCACCAGTGTTGGAATATAATGCTCATCAATATAACAAGGAGGGTGACAGTATTCTTGAAAGATAGGATAATATTTGCAATCAGACACAATGTGGATGGCAAGCTCACGGTGCACTTCAAACCATTGAGACCCTTTTCGCCAATTTGTGATGTTTATAATTGGATACATTTGAGGGTTATATCGGCCACGACCTGGCTTCCTTGGGTCATCAAATGAGCTTAGAAAGCTTAGATTTGAGTTGATGAGGTAGTCATAAGTTGTTGTGAAGTTGAACAATGGAATGCACGATTCAGACAGCAACACAAATCTTTGATTGGAGAAGTCAAGGAGTGCATTAGCTAGCAGGCGTCTCTCGGCATCTAACATTGTTGATGTTCCCCAATAGACTGGCTGCATGCAAATCAGGTGTTGATATCAAATAATTGTTATTAGTAATTTGATTGCAATCTAACATAGCGAAAATCACTTTATGTTGTGGCTTTATACAAGTCATCAGTTGGGAATGTAGTTAAATCTCATATTGGATCCATGACAAAATAAGTTAGATTATGAGTTTGGTGGTCCATGTGGACATAAGTTGTACATAATGATAATGAGGTGGCTAAAAGGAGCTATTACAGTTATTGGTGTCCATTTAGCTATTAGACACTAATAGTGCTTTTAACAACCTCATCACGTACAACAGTAGTGTCTAATATTAGTGTTTTTTTTTCCTTCTAGTGGACACTTACAATTTCTATTTCCCAGACATCAACCCATTACTTTTGAAATCTATGTATAAAACCCAAATTAAAACTAAAATACCTCGTAAGATATAAAAGGTTATAGTACTCCTACATATTTACATTGTTTGCCACCACACTTCAGATAAGTCAACCTGATGATTTTCAAGCATGTCATTAAGTCCCTCATTTATAATTAATACTTCCTCATTTATAGCATATCAATAACTCCCCTTTTTGTTTTTTGGGCATTCCCTCTAATCCCTAAAATTTCGACCAATAAAAAAATTCTTAAATTTTCAACCAATAAAAAATCCCTCAAAATTCGTCCCAATAAAATACAATAGGTAAACTATTATCAATACAATATAATGTTCCTATAAATTTATCTATCTTGTATATATCCAATATAGTAGGTCAATTATTTTCATAATATACCTATTATTGTGTTGACTTTAATATACCTACAATATGTATATATCCAAGACAATACCAATACAATATAATGTACCTATAGATCTTGTATATATTCAATATGAGTAGGTAAATTATTTTCATAATATACCTATAAATGTGTTGGCTTTAATATATCTTCAATATAATAGGTAAATTACAAGTTAATTATTAGGTAAATTATATCAAAAATGTGTTTATACTAGTTGGGTACATTATTTGAGTAATAAGTAAATTCATTCGAGGTACATTATTTTTCGTAAAAGAAGTAATAGGTACGTTATTTTTTGGGTCATGCTAGGGAGACTATTTTTAGAGACTAACTTGTGTACTATTTCTCTAATAGAGGTGGAGCCTACCAATACAATGGGTGCCACCTCTATTACAAAGATGGTACACAAGTTGGTCTCTAAAGATGGTCTTCCTAGCTTTTTTTTTTTTTTTTTTTTTTTTTTTTTTTTTTAAAATTAAATACAAAAGTATTATATTTAATAAAACAATAATATATAGATAATTAATCACGTATACTTCATAAATAAATAAATAAACCGATTAGTTATGTGAAATCTAAATTTAATGTTAAATAAAAAAAATCCAAAGTAATTCCTACATCCTTTTCCAAATTCAACATGTGTCATTAGTTACAATCCAATTAAAAATTGTTTCAATATTGGTTCCTACATTAATATACAAAATGCAATAATAGCTTAGTTGGGGTATTTTAGGAATCGAAAAAGTACAATAAATTTAATTTTGTGCTTGAGTAGGTAACTTGCCGAGTTGGATCCTAATTATCGGGATATATTTAGGAAAAAATGTTTCTTATTCAAACAAAAATAAAGAGATGAGTTGCCGTTCATGAAAAATGACTTTGAAGGGGTTAAGCTAAATTTACTATAAAATCCTTACCCTTCAAAATCAGTAATTAAAACCCTTCTGATTTTTTCTTCCAAAATAAAAAAACCCATATAATTTTTGTTTTGATCTGTAATTGTTAAAACCATTTTAATTATTAAAGCTAACTTTGACATTTCAACTCTGTTCGATAAGTTGGACACAGTATCAATTTGAGATCAAAGATTAGTAGTGGTTCCACCCTGATGCTTTTCTCAAGCATGGCAGCAAACACATAAACACATAGTAATGTAACTAATGTACAAAAACTTCAATTTAGCAATTATTAGAGGAACTAGTTACCTGGCTATGAATTCTTCTACCATGGAAGACAGAATCTTCAGGCACTGATTCATTAAAATCAGGGTGTGCGTGCACATAAACGGAGTATAAGCCTTCATGTCCCTCGAAAAATTTCTCCCACAAGGGACCCAAAGGTAGAGGCCCCTTTGTCAAGAACATGAAAGCCACTTTCGGAACATACTTGTAAGGCAACTTTTGAATTCGAGGAACCATTGAAGCTCTCCAAAACAACTCCTCGTCACTCATATTGTGTACTAGGAGTTTTTGTTCTTTCAATGAAACACTAGTATAATTAGAGGTCACATTCGTGAACGACAGCACTAGAAATGGCGGTGGCGGTAGCGGTGGTGACGGGGGCGGGGGCGGGGCCAGCAATGTTGGTGGTGGTGGTGATTGAGTTGTAGATGATGATGGTTTTGGAGAACTAAAATTAATGGAATTTAGGGAGGCTTGGAAAGTAGTGAATGAGAAGCTCTGGAAATACAAGGTAGTTATGATGCCGATTGACAAACCTAAACCGAAAAATAGGAAATGTAAGACATGATTTAATTGGACGTGTGTACGGGAGGGTCTGAAAATTGATTCAGACTGGTGCTGCTCATGGCTGCTGCTCATTGTGATTGGGGTGAGAAAGAAAGAGAGAAAGGAGTTTCCTAGCTTATCAAGTAGAAAGCTCTTGAAAATTTGCAGCTCGGCTTTTGTAGAGAAGGTAGCATGTTCTTAGTGGACTTTGTATATGGTGCTTGAAAGTGAAGCTGGAGGAAAGCGCAATTGACTGTAAGATAATGTGAGTATTGACCCATTCGGAGTTTGCATCGGTTGGAATTTAAGTCGTCAGAAATATCTACCCAACTTTATTTTTGGACCGTGACAATTTTTATTTAAAAAAAAATTAAGAAGCTTAGCATGACAGCTAATGCGGTTGACAAACTTTTCTTCAATACCAGCCAAGAAAAGAGAAAAAAGACAACAAATGGAATTAAAACACGAAATATAATTTTTAAATTACGCATTGAAATATTTGGATGCTTGTTTCTGCATTCAGAGCACACCTTGGAAAGGTTCAATTAACGTTCCATGAAGAAACTTTTATATGGACTAAGGATTGAGACCATGTTTTTTTTCCTTTCTAAACTCTCAATATATGAAGTTCCATTTTTCTTTTACACATGCTTTGTATTTTTGGGCAAAGAATGTGTGACTTTTGGACCATCGTATCTGAAAGATATAGGGCAGTTTGTCGTTTCATCTAAACAAAGGGCAGCAGCCGATTGAATGGTCAAACTCGTTGGATTGAAGACAAATTAATGGGTTTGGTCTTGGTCCAACAATTCCCCAAAAATAATGAGAATCGCCACTCACCGAACATGAGAAACACAGCACCCACAAGCACTGCGAAAATTTAGGTTCGTAGCCACTTTTCTACTCTTTTCTTTCTTTGAATGGCCACCGGTTTTTATGTTATGCTACTTCCCCACCCAAATAAAAACAATCTAGCTAGTTTAAAATATTCAGTTAGCTATCTGTTTATTTTGACTTATAATGTACATCCATATGGTTGCTTGAATTAATCACAAAGTTACAAGTTCTGTCATTAGAACATATATATCATCTCTTCTAAGGTATGTGCTGGTGTACTCTCTTCTGCGTTACTTAACCCATGCATTTGATTCTTGACAAGCTGTTAATGCAATACTTTCTTCTGTTTTTTGGCTTAAAGGCAAAAATTGTCCTTGTGCTTTATCACATGCGCTTTCAATTCGATCCTTGTGTTTAGGATCATTAGCCAATATATTGCCCATTCCGTTAAATTTTCTCTTTAATAAATATGATAAGCCTTTTTTATTTTTTTTATTTTAATCTTTTAAAAACCTATAAACCTTTTCAAAATTAATTAAAAATTAATTAGAAGTAAATCATTACATTAGAGATAATAAAAAAGGATGGGGTTGTCGGGGAGGGAGGGTCTACCGTGGAGAAGTTGGAAGGAGAGTGATGAGCAGAGGGGCATGGCCGAATGGGGAGAACACAGGGAGTAAATTGGCCGAATTAAAAACACAATGACTAAATTGGCCACCATGGTAAAACAAGGGACCAATTTTTTTAAAGTATCAACCTTTAGTATTCCCTTGGTGGAACATGACTAGAAAATTATTGTTCCAGAGGTGATCTTGTTTGAGAGTGATTTTAGATAGGCCAAAATCATTTTTAGGGAGAAGCACCTCCCATCTTCTTCATATAATCACTTTTAGTGATTTGAAGTGATTCTGGGGAGAAGCATCTCCCATGTGATTATCCATAAATTTACTTAAAACCATTTAAAGTAATGGAGAACTGATTCTCCATAGAAGTGATTATCGGCATATCCAAAATTACTTCCAAACAAGCCCTTAACATCTTAATTCATTAATCCAATTTCACTGGTCAACACCATATATATAATTTGCTCACCAATACTTTTAAGTGTTTGACCTTACCTTTTTGCAATTCCAGTAGCTTTTTAACACTTCGGCAAGGGGTTGCCTAGTCTCCTCTCAAACTCTCTCTGTTTTTTTTTTCCTCCTTTAGCTTAGAATTTTCTCTCAATGTAAATGTAACTCTCCATGATAAAATATATGAAGGCTACTTATCAAATCACAGATCCAAAATAGACACCCAGCAAGAATCAACACCAAACCATGATAACCTAAAAACTCGCAACTAGGCAAACACTCGGGGTCATTAGTCTGACGAGGCAATCCATAGTGTTTAAAAAAGATTCTTACAAAGAAGATTCAATCAAGCTCAAATTTTATGGACCCATATTAGGAAGGAGCTATAACTTTGAACCATAATACCAGTCTTCATGAAAATGGCAGCTCCTTACCCTTAGGCTCTTCATCTCCAAGGCCCCATCGAGTCTTATTGTAGATGACCACTAGCTCCTCTAGCCCTTCATCTTTAAGGCACCCATAAAGTCTTCTTGTAGATGGCAGCTAGCTAAACATTGAGCTCTTCATCTCCAAGGCCCCATCGAGTCTTGTTGTGGATGACAACTAGCTCCTCTAACTCTTCATCTTCAAGGCACCCATAAAGTCTTCTTGTTAATAGCTCATACTATCATTGTGAGCCGAGCCCCTTAGAGGATACCATGTGACGCGATAGGCCGAGACACATTTTTACCGAGCCGACCGGGTGTGATACCCTCGCCCTCAAAAAGGCTCCTCAGGGAGAGTATGACGAATCAAGGATGAGACCAGTGATAAGATGTTTAGGAACCGACCCGACCACTGTGGCACCATGACCAACTAGAGATACATTAAATGGGATAGCCTGGCAAGAAAGAAAGGTTGGTTGATGCACATCCCATCCTTAAACAGGTGTCGCCTGACCCTTTGATCTCCGGATGAATAGGCTGGTGATGGAGATGGATCATTTAATACACTCCCATCCTTGTCCACCTATCACTCCGCCACCTGATCCCTGTCATGAAGTAGGATGGTCAAAAACAGAACATTAAATGTAACTCAACCCAGGGGGATAGAGGGAGATCTCTTCCATAAAATATCTGGGTCTCTTCTTCTTCTTCCCCTTATAAATACCCTTCACCTATCTCTAGACAAAGGTAATAAATATTTTCTCATTGTGAAAACCCTACATCCATTCTCTCTAGGTTAAGTTAGTTTCTGACTTAACCATCGGAGAAGGCTCAACTGGGATCAACCTTAGTTCGTTCTTGTTCTGATACTATTTTGAGTGTGCAGATCTTCCGTTGGAAATAACTCATTTACGGGGTCAGATATGAGCCCAGGTCCCTACCTAGGCCCAAGTCACTCATACGAGAAGGATACGTGGTTTACATTTGGCGCTGTCTGTGGGAACACTTCTTTACAAATAGAAGCTGCATCCCCTCATCCATCTAAGCATCGACACGAGCGAAACCAAGCCATGTTGGGAAATCAACACCTCAGGAAGAAGGCCTTCTCAAGTACAGCAGGGAGAAATGCCCATAGGCGAAGGAAAGAGAGGTTGAGGTCGGATCATCTGAAAAGCCTGGAGGAGAAGATGAGCTAGATCTTAAAGGGCGTAAAGGATGTAAAGAATCTCAGCAACAGCCTTCTCGTGCAAAATGAGATACTACAAGAAAACCAAGCCAAGCAAGAGGATCAGGAGCATGTGCAGCAGGAACTCGAGCCGACCAGCACCAAAGATACAGATGGAGCCTTGTCCTCTTCAACAGTAGTTGAGACACCAAGGCGGAGAGTGGCCGATGCAAGAAACACGCTGATAGATAAGAAGGCCTGGCGAGAGCACAACAAACGCCTAATGGAAGACCTCCATAAAGGGAAAAATCAGATCGACTTGAAGGAGGAAGAGGAAAAGGAAGAAGTTGACGGCATCACCTCCAAACTCAGAGACTTGGTGGGATCGGCTCGGGCAAGTCGAGAAATCTAAAATGCCTCGAGGACTAGTGTTCACCGAGGAGGAGATCCACCATATACCTAAGACCTGCTGCATGCTCGAGTAATGAGGGATTCAATGGCTCCAAAAAATCCCCTTGTATGATGGGATGACCGATCCGTACGACCACTTGAATAACTTTTGCTACGCCATGGAGGGACCCAACGCAAATGAGGCGACCAAGTGCTGCCTATTCCTGACGAGAAACTCAGAGATTACAACACCCGATTCAACAATGAATATGCACGCTGCAAGGGATAAGACGAGGCCATAGCACACAACGCTTTGATGGGTGGACTCCAGGAAGGAGACTTCTACTTTTCCCTCACGAGGAACCCCCTTGAGACGTATAAGGACCTCCTTTGCGAAGCCACAAGCTACTCCCAAGCCGAGCAGTTGAACTTGGCAAGAAAGGCTATCGCAAGGTCAGTGTTAGAAACCCACTCATTGAAGGAAAAGAGGCTTAACAACTATGCCTATGATCGATCGGCAAAAAGAAAGAAGCGAGAGTCGGGATCCTCAACTCAGAAGAATAAGGTCAGACCGGAAAAGCACAAGCAGTACACAAATTATACCCCTTGAACAAATAAAAGGGGGAGATATTTGCAGTAATAGTACACGATATGGGAGCCCACCCTAACCCCAGCACCAAAGCCACAAGACACCGACCCATCTACCAACCTGGCCTTGTCACAATGGACTTTATATGTCGACGGTGCATCCAATTTACAGGGTTGTGGCGCAAGCTTGGTTTTAGTATTCCCTAGCGGGATCACGGTGGAGTACGCTTTGCGTTTTAGCTTCCAGGCGTCAAATAACGAGGCAGAGTATGAAGCCTTCCTTGTAGGCCTTCACTTAGCAAAGAAACCAGGTGCTGAACACATTAGCATCCATAATAGCTTGTGGTTAATTAGGTCATCGGTGAGTACCAAGCTCGGGAGTAGCACATGACTGCCTATGTCCAGAAAGTTAAAGAACTCCTCTCTCCCTTTCGATCACATGCCATCACTCAGATTCCACGCGCTAAAAACACATGAGCCAACTTAATGGCTCTCCTCGCCTTGACTCTTGACATCGAGCTCACCCGAAGCATCCTCATCGAGTACTTAGCCAGGAAAAGCATCCACCAGCTAGATAGCAGTACCATGACGATTGACGAGGCACTCACCTAGAAGACCCCGATATGGGAGTTCCTAAAAAGCGGGGCACTCCTCCAGGACAAAATCCAGGCTAGAGCCGCAAGCTACACCAGTATTGGCCAAAAGCTGTACAAACGGGGTCACTCATTGCCCCTGCTCTTGTGCGTGACCCCAGAAAAAAGACTAGTAGCCGTTCAGGAAATCCATGAGGGGATTTACGGCAATCACGCTGCGACCCAAGTAATAGTACACAAGGTAATGCAGTGGGGATATTTTTGGCCAACTATGGGTATAGATGCTAAACACCTAGCCATGTCTTGTCAACCTTGCCAATTCTTCGCGATTATACCCCATTAGCCACCCGAGCGCCTCAATTTCAACAGATCCCATATTAAATTCAGCCGATTGTATTGTTGCAGTCCTATATGAGGGGTTGAGGCGATTGGCTTTTATTAGACTTGGTAAAGAGAGAACATGGATTTATGCCGATGGAAGGCATACTTTGATTGAAGAAGTTGTTTTTGTTGAAGACAAATGTTATGCTGTTGATAATTGGAGCAGATTGTTATCTTTTGATGTTACTACTCGCTCTAACCCAAATGTAAAAGTGGTTGCAAAGGGCATCAAACGAACAGGTAATACCACAAGATATCTTGTGGCTTTAAATGAGGGAAAATTTTTGATGGTCCACAGAACATATTATTTTGATTATGAGCGTAACAAACGTGCGACAAGGAAAATCAAAGTTTTTGAATTGGATTTGAAAGAGTGTAAGTGGATTGAGAAAGACACTTTAGATGGTATTTCTCTTTTTGTGGGTGATAACTCTACAATATATGTGTTGGCTTCAGAGCTTTCAGGATGGCAGCCGAATTGCATATACTTGAACCATGATAATGATTTTGCGAGCATTGATTTAGGACCAGATCGACCTTGTGTTCCTCATGATTATGGCGTGTATAACGTCGAGACACAAAGCTTTTCAAATTCGTATGGCGCACGGATTAAGACCCAGATGAAGAACGCCCATAAACCAGTAATATGGATCGTGCCAGTGTCTCAATTGTACAAAGCTTGTTGTATTTTTTCTTAATCTATTCTTACTTTGTTGTCACTTAAAGATACTTGGTATTCTCACTATTTGATATTATTGGTATTTTATGTTTGTTGTAATTCTGTTTGATTGGGTTTTGTTTAATGCATAGATTCCAATTATGCATTTGATTATTCATTGAATATGTTTAGTTTTTTTGACCATCTATGTATCTGAATGCTTCAGTGGGAATTGCCTACTTATGTAACAACCCAAAATGTGAAGGATATTGTGAGCCAAGAATCTCATAAAGCAAACAAGAACAAAAAGAAATTTGCTATTATAAGGTAGAGGTTATTTTATTGTCACCGGTTAATATCTTTTTCATTTGACTAAAAACAAAAACATATCTTTTTCATCATTATGTGAGATATCTCTCTACAGACCCGAGAAGCAATTAACGCTTTCCACTGGCCAAAAGAATGGGATTACATTAAGGGATTGAGACATTAATTTAACAGTCTATAGATTGATGTAAGAAACATTAGGTTCTGGCATGCAATAGACTGAAATAGCTTGTACTAATCACATTTCAAACTGAAAGGCTGAAAGGCTTTTCTTTGGGCTTTATTCCATCAATTAAATTGGGAAAAGAAAAAAAGAAAAAGAAAAGATAATCTAGCTTCTTAAGGAAACGAGCGTCATTTCTCATTTCCCTCATCGTACAAACACACACACACACTCAAACCCACCTTCAATTTCTTCTCTCCTCCTATGGCTGATCAACGCCAGAACCCACCGAGTGATCTCCACAACCAGAACCCACCCTCAACCCCAAACCCCACCCCAACCCCATCCAAGCCTAAGGCCAAAATTCTTGACAAAAGGCCGTGCAACATGTGCCACAAGTCTCTAAAAGGAAAAGAAAGGCTGAAAAAGCATCAAAAGGATGTCCATGGCAAGGTGGCCAAGTTCAAATGCGGTGCTGGACCTGATCGGGCCTATGCCCAAAGGGAAAGGACAGACCACTCATGCGGTCGTTGCTGTAGATTATTTCACCAAGTGGGCAGAAGTAGAACCATTGACAACCATTACAGCAACAAAGGTGCAGAGCTTCATATGGAAAATATTTTCTGTATTTTCGACATTCCTCACACCATTATCACGGACAACGGAAAGCAATTCGACTGCAATAAATTCGGTGACTTTTGTTTGGACCTCAAGAAAATGGCCAGGTAAAGGCGATTAACAAACTCCTCAAGCGAACACTCAAGAGAAAACTTGATGCAAAGAAGGGGGTCTGGTCGGAACTCTTACCATAAGTTTTATGGGCTTACCATTGCATCGAGCGCAGCTCAACAGATGAGACCCCCTATTCACTCGCATTCGGAGCCAAGGTAGTCATCCCTGTTGAGGTCGGCATCTCAACGCATAGAGTCGATCACTACACACTTGCGCGGAATTTGGAGCAACTCACCCTCAGCATGAACCTATTAGAGGAGTGTCGACTACATGCTACCCTTAATCTCACAACATATCAACAATGAACAGCACGGTACTACAACCAGCATGTTCGCGAGCGTACCTTCTAACCTGGGGATTTGTTTCTTCAAAAGGTATTACTTAGAACCAAGGATAGAACTATTGGCACCCTGGGGGGTTAATCGGGAGGGACCTTACCAAGTCTTTGACATTGCCTGACCAGGAACATATCGGCTCGCCCAACTAAATGGCAAGAAGTTGCCCCATTCGTGGAACGCCAAACACCTAAGGATCCTTAAGCATCCAGATGTGACCTCACCCAGGCACAACCACTATTTTTGCCTTCGCTTATCGCCTACTATGTTTTCCCTTCGAGCACGAGCACGATATCGACCTACCCGAGCCAGTGCGAGGCCACTCCAAGTGGTGTGTGCTTGGTCTTTCATCCCCAGTTCTCGCTCTTAGCCTGGCATTGCTCTGGTGCTTATCAACCGACCCACCTTCCTCTTCCACGTCCAAGCTCGTGGCCACTTCTTCAACCTACCCAAGCTTTCCCTATCTTTAGTCTCCCCACTCCTCTCCCCAGGGTTAGCACTAGCCAATTCAATACCCTCCACCCCACCTCCAGCACCTCAGTACTCAAAATTCCCACTGAGCCCAATGAGCTTCTCTTCACCCATCTGATCAGTTGCTTCATATATCTGAGCCACCACATCCTCATCCTCCCCATCATCCCTAAAAGCCGACCGCTGCTTGGCATTTCTTGTGAATTAGACATATCTGATTGGCTCGACATCTTCCTACTACTCACACCACTTCAAACACAACCAAGTAGGGGAAGGGGTGGAGTCTAACGATCAAACTGTACCAAAACAAGAAACATTCGATGAACACAAACACACTAGACCCAGATAGACCAAACTAGCTAAACACAAATGATTCTGGAAAAGAAAGAAGGAAGAGGAAGGAAAGGAAAGAAGGAGAAAGGAGGAGGCACCTTACTAGAAACTTAAAACACCTGTTCTTTGCAAAGGACGCACACTGGTATAGATTGCTTGGAGAAATCATTTAGAGCTTTCACACGGCAACAATGGCAGCAAAATGGCACAACCGCTTCCTCTTCCTCTATTTATACAACCCACCTGACCATCTCCACCATCCATACTTAGTTCGGCCTGGCTATGATGATTGCACGTGGCCACACCACACTGGCCATCAGGTGAAGCGACGGAAGATGTCTCAACACGACCCTTCAAAAAGGCCTACTGTCAAAGGCCATTAAGTGCATTTATGTTCATCTAATCAACTAGGGTCACATTGCCCTAACTCAAGTGTCAAAATTCAAAACCTGGCGCCACGACTGGTATTCCAAGAAACCTATTCGGTTGCGAACTTGGGGGGCTATACTACCCGACCCCAATGACGAAGGGACAAGATGGGCTTGGCTCACCTAGGAAAGTGCGAGAAACCAAACAACTCCACACCCACGGTCGGCTCCTTGAGTTAAGAGTTAATGGGCTACTGTTAATAGCTCATACTATCATTGTGAGTCGAGCCCCCCAGAAGATACCATGTGACGCGATAGGCTGAGACACCTTTTTACCGAGTCAACAGGGTACCCTCAATAAGGCCCCTCAGGGAGAGTATGACGAATCAAGGATGAGACCAGTGATCAAATGTTTAGGAACCGATCCGACCACTATGGCACCATGACCAACTAGATATACATTAAATGGGACAGCTTGGCAAGAAAGAAAGGTCGACTGATGCACATCCCATCCTTAAGGTGTTGCCTTACCCTTTGATCTCTGGATGAATAGGCTGGTGATGGAGAATGGTCATTTAATACACCTCCCATCCTTATCCACCTGTCACTTCGCCACCTGATCCCTGTCAGGAAGTAGGATGGTCAAAAACAGAACATTAAATGTAACTTAACCCAAGGGGATAGAGGGAGATCTCTTCCATAAAATATATGGGTCTCTCCTTCTTCTTAACTATACATCCATTCTTTTTAGCTTAAGTTAGTTTCTGACTTAACCATCAGAGAGGGCTCAACTGGGATCAACCCTAGTTCGCTCTTGTTCTGATACTGTTCTGAGTGTGCAAATCTTCCCTTGGAAATAACTTCTCTACAGGGTTAGACACAAGCCCAGGTCCAATTCACTCATACGAGAAGGATACATAGTTTACACTTCTTGTAGATGGCAGCTAGCTCAACCTTGAGATCTTTACCTCTACGCCACCCAACGCTTTGTACAATCTTCATTTGAATCATAGTATCACAACAACTACTAATCTTCATAATCATGGCAGCTCACCATATTTGTGGCACTAGCTTCTCAACAACACTTCCAGAGAAATCCAAATGAACTATAGCAAACATAGATTTTAGAAACAAATAAAAATCAATCCATCTTGAAGACACCGATTACAAATCTAATCGTATGGATGATATGCAATCTAAAACATAGATTTGAATCGTATTTATAAAAAAAATTTAACGAATAGGAAAATATATATATAATCGCTTTTCTCTTCTCTCTCCCTTTCTCTTTGTACCTGACGACAAAATCTCTGAGGGACCCTTCCAAGCTCCAGATCTAAGACCTTTACGGCGAGGAGGCTCTAAAATCGAGCCAATTCCCGCCGCCCTCTTCTTCCTCTTTGTCTCGTTTTGACGTTGGGGCCCCACTACTTCACTAGCCACGTCCACCACCACCTCCATGTGATTTATCTTTTTTGAATCAGTCAGTCAAAACTTGATATCAACCCTCGAATTGATCCAAGAACTTCAATTTCTGAAAACTCAGTTCTATATGTGGTACAGTAGAAAAATTATGAACAAATTCCCATTTCGTCAGTTTTCTAGTTTTATGAACAAATTCCAATTTCGTCAGTTTTCTAGTTTGTCCAAAAGAACCCACTTTTACAAACCCTACAATTTATGGGAAATTGGGAAAAAGGAATTGGAACCCACTTCCTTTACCTCATAAAACAATTCATTTACCCTCCCCTACCAACCACTTGATTTCATTTCAACAAAGCAGAGCTTGATGGAGAATATGGGCTTGCGAATGGGCATGGATCTATTACAACAAAGCAAATGCAAAGCAAAAGCTCATTGCCTCAGTATAAGGCAATGTCATTGATGCTTTGGTAGCCTTAGGCTAGAGGAGAGATAGATGAATCTTTAATTGTGATTTAGGTTTGGGGGTGTTAGTGGGAGATGTTGTTTTGGACTCATTTGTTAGCGAATATGGGGTTGTTTAGTAGGAGGGAGTGATGGCTGCTCCAAGTTGTTGGTGGTGGAGGGCCTCGTCGGATACAGAGAAAGAAAGAGGGAGAGAGAAGAAGAGAGAAGTAATTATATTTTTTTTCCTATTTGTTAAATATTTTTATAAACAAAATATTTTATTGGTTTTTTTTTTCACACATGGGACTTATGTGGCATACATTGCAACAAAAGAGTGGGTCCTATTTGTGCTACATTAGGTTTTTTGACAGACTTTTTGATGTACTTGACGGCAAGGGGTAAAGTGAGATGCAAAACATCGGTCAAGAGGGTACTCTGGGTCATTTTAACTTTCAGAGGGTAAAGTGAGATTTGACCATAGTTTCAGAGGGTACTACAGTAAATACGCCTTATTTTTAACCAGATGCACTTGTGTGTATTTGTTTGCAACTTGCAGGTGCAGACACCTTCTATTGGTTTAACCTTCATGAAACATAATTTGTCATTATTGACCAAAAAAAAAGGTCATAATTTATTATTTTAAAGCCTTTTGTATTAACCCATAGCAATGGGTAATAATCATATTGCATAAGTAGTGTTTTTGCAATGGGTTTTGAATTTTCATAGACGTATGTCTGTTTACAGTAGTGAGCATTATACAAATTGGAACTACATGATATACTTCTTCTTTTTGCCTTGTACTAGTTAAGTGCTGGAACCTATATTTTCACTAGATCCATTACAGGATTTGCATTCTCTTAAATGCTAGATGCGGTAGTGAGTTTGACGAAGTCGTTTTTTCAAGTGTTGGCTAACAGAATTTGCATTCTTTTATTCCTCATCCAATGTAACTTTTCCTTGCATGATTTCACTAAAGTCATTGCATTCACAATTTCTTGATCTTTCTTTTGCAATGCTTGTGACACATCATTTGTGAGTCCCAATATAACTTTCATCAAGAATAGATGAAACACAAGCTCAAAAGTAAGCATTTCTCTTTGAATCTTATTTGCTTCACTGACATTATCATTGAGATTATCATCAATAATCAAAAGTAAGACATTTAAAAAAATAAAAAATAAAAATAAACAAATAAACAGGTTAGTGGGTTGGCCAGTTACACAGATATTTTAATTGGTTGGCGGGTTATATAGGTATTTTAGCGAGTTACTAAGTATTTTAGCGGGTTGGCGGGTTGACCCGCCGTGACCTATTTTGTTAAACGGAAAATGCTAGGTTTACCACATTTTTCATACCACAATTGTACCACCTCTCTAATAGAGGTGGGCCCCATTGTATTGGTGGGCTCCACCTCTATTAGAGAGGTGGTACAATTGTGGTATGAAAAATGTGGTAAGCCTAGCATTACTCTTTGTTAAACAGATTATATAGGTATTTTAGCGAGTTGACGAGTTGACCAGAAACCCACCTGTTTATTAAACAGGTCTTGGTGGGTTGACCCGAAAATGACCCGAATTTTAATCGTGCGGGTTGAACCCGCTAAATTCATGTGCGGGTTTTGAGTCGTGTAATTGGTCGTGCCCGAAATTGCCACCCCTACCTATGAACACTCGCAAGGTGTTCATGGGGACTTTTCACATAACGCGGATTCATCAGCCATTGGAAATTTATGCGGTTTTCTTTCAAACTTTAGTTTGTGGATTTTTTTACCCAAAATAGATTCATCGTCCAAGTTCGCTTGGCAGAGCAATATTTATTTTCGGGTTTTAACCCAAGATGGATTCCTCATCCATAAAGAGTGGGTTTGACCCCAAAATGGATCATTCTCTGCAAAATTCGGTTCATGGGTTTCTCATCCATATGGATTTTTACATCCAAATAATAATTTCGGGGTCACTCACCCCATGGATTTGCATCCAAATAATTTTGGGGTTTCTCACCCATGAATTTGTATCCAAATGATTTTGAGGTTTCTCACCCATGGATTTGTGGCATGCTATGTCTAATACAAAAAAATTGGATTCATCATCCATAGAATTTGTTTTGCCAGTTTGATCCGATTTGATATAAAGATGACCACCCCATTGATTGGAAGCCTATGTGGATCAAGAGAATTGCTCAAAGCATGGAGGAAATATTTCACAAAAGAGGATAGCAGATAGCTCATTGGTTTGCCTTGTGGCTTCTATTTTTTTCTTTGCTACCTCACGACTGCATCCCTTTGTTCTTTTCCTCCCCCCAATTTTATAACCTTAGTCAAATAGTTTGGAGATTAGATAATCCCTCATCCAAATTTGAAAGCTTGGTCACTTCCTATCTTTTTGCTTGAAATCAGAGCCCACTTCATTCCTTTGATATTTCAAATCTTGTTTTGAAAGCCTAAGCACGTGGGAATCAGACCCACCCATTGAATGCTTCAAATTTTCTTCCCAAAATTTTAGCTTCATGCTCAACATAGGACTTATCACATCCCACATTATTTTGAACAAATATTGTCTTTTTTTGGTTTCACAGATGCCCTCTCAAGCGTTGTGTGTGAAACAACTTTTTGTGTGCAAGGCTTGATAGCTTTCCCTTCTACACAAGAGTTCGTTTTTCTTCTGCTTTTTGCTTCAACCGTTCACAATTTATCCTCGTGTGGGTCAAGAGTTCTTGTGTAGTAGTTGAACCACTTGTTTATCAATTGGTGGATAAAAAGAAAATGGATTTTGATATTTTACGGATGGATCTAACTTCAGGCTAGATTGCCTACATACCTTGTAAAAGGATCAAGCCGAACGTAGTACACCCTTCTTGAATTGAGGTAATGGATGGGGATTTATGGACTTTTGACTGAATCTAGCTTTTTAAGGACTAGACTACCTATGTACCC